GTATCTGGGGAGGTGGGTATCTGGGGAGGTAGGGAGGGAGGTGGGGATGTAGGTATCTGGGGAGGTAGGTAGGTACTTCGTAGGTCGGTAGCTCAGCTGCAGGATAGGCTACTACTGTACTGTACTGTACTGTACAGTAGGGGGCGGGAGGTGACAGCTGAATCATACAGTAGAATGGCGGTTCTTGTTGATCAGCACCCGCTAGGAAAGCTTCGTCCCGGTACTGTCATCCGTAGCCCAGCCCTTGCCGGCGACCGATGTCTCATTGTATCTACTAGACGCTCGAGACACTGCCAAACAGGCAGACGGGTAGTCTAAGAACACTACTGTACTTGTACGGCCTGTGCTTGTCTTGTATGCACAGACCAGCGCCACCACATGGGAATCACGACATCTCTATTGCGTCCTACCTACCTACCTACTGTACGGAGTACTTCGCACCTACTGTACTCTCTCTGTACGAGAATACCATCGTGTGGTAGCATTGAGCTGTCTACGTCAGTGGCTACTTGTATAAATTCGGATTGCTTCGATTTGCCGCCGCATGCGCAATAACCACATAAAGTTCTGCGCAGTCTTACCTAAAGGTCTCTCCTCGATGCATCATGTGGATAATTCCCGAACTTACCGACTCCTCTCCTCTCTCTGTCTTACCTACCTGAGGTATTCAAACCCCACTTATGCCTTGTTTCTTTACTTACCAAGTACTTCGTATACGGAGTAGGTAGATACGGATGGATGGCCTGATTCTCTCCAGAGCCAGAGTCTAGGTTTATTGCGGCCTCTAGAACATCGATTCCCTCTTCTCCCCCCCCCCCCCCCCCAACGATTCCCCACGTTCGCGGAGTCGATGTCTTCCGTACAGTACCTCCGTACCGACTCCGGCTTCAACCCGGTCATCGTGTTCCAAATGGACCCTGTGGAGTTATCTCGCTGTAACCCTACTCTCTCTGGTCTTAGTGCTATTGTACAGAACAACAATACTACTGTACTGCACCCTTCGTAGACCCAATCTACTGCTCCGTCTCAGACTGAATAAACATCTGCCTACCAACAGGCTGGAGTCTACTCGGGGTAATCACGGACCTGACTCCGTACTGGACGTCTTTCTTGCCCATGAGTGGCAGGTGGCAGGGTCGTCCTGGCCAAAAAGCCAGGAACCGTTTGGATGCTGCCCCTCACTGATCCATGCTCCCCCCCCCCCCTCCCCTCCCAAACAAGGCCAACTCCACCGATGAGGCTTCACACCCCTTGCTGTTACGGCTCTCTGTCGCTGTGCCTCGTACGCCTCTTTACCCTTCAAGTTCCGATGAGACGCCATTGGTGGGATGTTGATGGATGTGTGCATCGAGTTCTCCAGGCCTCCGGGCTGGTAGATTATTCGCATCGCTGCTTCAAACAGACTCCTCGTAGACCATCTGTCTGTCTGTCTGTCTGTCTGTACAGTACGTACGGTAACACAAAGCCGCGAGGCCAGCAATGTTGTGCACTCACAGGCAAGAAGCAAGAAGCAAGGAACTACAGGCCTCGTTTTCTGCTCTAGACGAGTACGTCAACAGAGAGCCTATACGACTTTGCCCTTCCCCCCTTTCAGGCTTTCAGGTCACGGTAGCCCACACCTTACTGGCAAAGCAGTAAGAAGCATTGCCATTTCAGCAGCGCCAGAAAGGCTCCCGGCCCCTGGCTCCAGCACATCTACCCCTCCACCCCCCTTCGTCTATATTGTTCTCTCTAGCCTACAGTACTCCGCCTCCTTGTTCAGCTTGTAGCACTCGGCCACCGCCCTATGATTTGCACGAGGGTGCCATAAAGCGGGCCTGGAAATCTTCTATATCTTTTCGTGCCTTCTCTATGGGCTTGACTTTTGCCCTTCCTCTCCCTTTCGCCTAGATATAGGCCCGACCTGTTACCTGTCCGCGATAGCAGAGAGATACCACCCGTGATTGTCATCGTTTCACCAACCCTCTTCAATTCCGTCTCGTCTCGCTCACGGACGCTTTCAATTGAACCTTTTGGGAATTCATGTTCCAGATCTGGTTCGCTCCACCCTCACTACCGCCGTCTTAGTCTATAATACTTCGTATATCTCATCAGTTGCTGCTGGCTGCCGTGATAATAGCAGCGGATGTCTTATCCCGCTCCTACTCGGGAGCGTATTATTATAGAGGGGTAAAGAGCAAGCAATCAAACACATTTTGTGCACCGATCATTCATTCCACAGCCCAGCCATCTCCAAAACTACACAGCTGGCTACGCTCTAGTTAGCTAGCTTGCCTGCTGCCCAGCTGCCACGCTCGATTATTGCATTCGTGCCCTGTCCTGGGAGCAAGTGTCAGTGTCCGATCCAATCGGCCCCAGGTCTCGTCTCGGGAGGCATCTTTGAGACTTCGGCCGGCATCTGTCTGGTCTCATGCCCTTGCTGACAGCCCACCTCCCAACGCGCCTCACTCGCTCCAACGCCTCAAGCGATAACTAATAATACTACTATAACCCTCCAGCTTCTCCACACATTCCAACGCCGCACCAGTGCGCTTATTAGACATCTTGCCTGTACCACCGCTGTGTGTATTATTGCAACGTCCAGTGCCACCGCCTGTACTCCACAATCTCACTCGCACAAAAAGAGCAGCAGATCACTTTGACGAGCAGTAACCCACTTTTTCTGAAAAGCAACTACACTACTACAGTTTGTCCACCTGTTCTTTTCTTTTCTTTTCCTGTCTGCATCCTACTCGAACTTTATATTCGCGTACTTACTAGTCGAAGACAAGAAAACATCTCCGAAACTATCGGCCACGATCAGGGTCCCTGTATTACGTGCATCGCTAGGGTGCATGCAAATATCAATCCACTAGGACTGCTTGCCGCTCTCACAGCGTATATTCTCCACTCTATCAGATTCTGATACAATTACCCTCAGGTCCCAATCATACTAATACTCCGTAGGATCTCAGAGCTCGTTCTCATATACGACAGCTCGACTGGCACATAGCATCATCAACCCCTCGGTGAAGATATATCCATCGCGCTTCCCTTACCTCTCACTTGCCCAACATGGTGAACGTGGGACGCAATGCCTTATCGCAAGGTGAATTCTACCCAAGGGATAACTGGCCTCGAAATGATCGCCAATACATGGAAATTCAAGATGGCAGGTTCAATACACCCTCCGTCCATGGCTATCCCCAGGTATTTATCCCCGCTCCCATCTACGATACCAAGGTCAATCTAACTCGTTTCAAAGGCTGTCGAACATGCATTGAGAGAATGTGCTCAGATACCGGTGAAAGAGTTCGCTCTTATTGTAATGCAAGATAATGGAGAGCAAAAAACCTATTCCTCGACATCTCTAAAGCCCCACTGGCCCAAAATCTTTACTGAACGTTTCAAACGGGACTTCCACCAATGCGCTCGATGGGCAAATGCAGAAGGATCGTATCCGAATTCAGGTCAGTTGAATAATCATATGAGGAATGAGCATTCCGCTGACGGGTATGGAAATCAGCCTACGGCCAAGAAGGCATGTACGACTTGGAGTTTGACAGTGGTCATGAATACAGGAGACAACCCGCAAGTGGAGAATCTTCTTCCGAAATGCCTCATCGCTTCCGCAACCATCAATTGAGATCAGTGGGGTCTAGCGATGACCAAGTTAGCGGCAAAAGAAAACGAACCCGATATCTGACTGATGAAAACACGACTATTCCTCCAGTCCAGAAGTTTCAACACCTCGTGATTGGGGATGACGTTGAGGTTGAAAAGTTCTATTTCCTTCGCTTTAAGGACTTGCAGCAATCATCTTGCAAGGTCATGGCAAAAGCGTTTGTGAAATTGGTTGAACCGAAGAAACAGACGCATCATCCATATACGAAAGGCGCGGATAGAGCTCCGCCATGGTGGCCGCCCTTGACAGGCGAGAATGCCGTCAAACACAAGGAGCCCGATCATCTTTACAGGCCAGGTAGGCAGCGGAGAACTTAGTCGAGAAGTGTGCTGACATTAATATCAGAGCGCATCCGGCTTCTGATCCACATTCTTCGAATGATCGTTCAGCCTAATCATAAACAGCATGAAGCCATACAAAAACATGACTTGAATGTGAAAGCTCTTGAAGAAGTTACTTGGGAAGCAGCGTCGAATTGGTTTAATGACAAGGAGCATCCGGAAAATGCTGCCAAACGACCCTTTCTCAAAGAGATCTTCAAGGTAGCCAAGTTTGAAGAACGTTACAAGCATGGTGAAATTGGCATGTAATTCTTTCTTAGAAGTGATACTCCCGGCTAATTTCTTACATAGATGGCACTGCGACAGTTCCAATTATGTACGGCGAAAGAGGAGTTGATGATTCTGATGACGATGAAGAAGGGTGTAAAGAAGAAGACGACGAAAATGAAAATACTCCCGCTTCCAGCCCTGAAAGCTCGGCAACAATGATGCAAGCGCCACAGCAACATTCTCCGTTTGAGACCGACAATCAAACTGTTATCCAACAGCGAACCCGACCGTTGATAGTCAGTCGCCATCCTCAACAACCGCATATGGAAGATCAGGCCGGGTACCTCGATACAAATTTCTCTCGCTCAATGGGTGGATATCAAACACAAAGCCCGAACCTTCAACAAGAGTTCCGACGGTCCTTCAATTCAACAGGGTTCCCCAGCCCTCAGCAGAACATGTACTCGGGCAGCGCTGGTTGGCAAAATAACAACATGCTCGGCAGCTCCTCAATGTCGGCAAACTACTGCGTCGCAAATTCATCTCAAGCTACGCTCGCTCCATCGCCGACCTCATTCCAACTACCACCCGTACCCCACGTGCAGCAGCAGCAGCAGCAGCAGCCGAATATGTTACCACCACCCATGACACACCACACATACAACGACGGGCTCCCGAACCCGCGACACTTCGATTCCGGAACCACGCTGGGCATCCAGCTGAGGACCGGTAGTATGGGACACCCGCATCAGATGTCTCAAGGTCATGGCTTTGGAGATTTCATGCAGGACGGCAGCAGCTTCGGTACTCATGATCCCGAGATGAAGCAAGAGCAACATATCCGACCAAGCTGATACTAACGCCACGCCTTTAAGGCCTCCACTTCACCTCCACATGCATCTTTACATCAGTAATTTCGAGCTCTCTTCGCGAACAAGCAAGCATAGGTGGCAATATTTATAGCGTATACCCGCTCGATTGATCCTTCTCGCTATCGACAAATCATTGCGACGTGGTCATCGCAAGCTTTTTTCCCTTTCTCTCTCTCTGGGTCCATCAATACAGTACCTTTGGAAACTTTCCTTTTCCGTGTGGGATGGAAGGATCACTTAATACAGCATTTCATTCGTCCTTTGCACTTTTCAACACGAAGGAATAGCATACACATATCAGGTTCCGCGCATCTATCCTAGCTTTGCAGATTTCCTATATGACGGATCCGGGTATCAGTTTATTTATTTTTTAGCGTACGTTGCGATGCGGTGCGTTTTAAGCATTATTTAGTTCAGCTGTGATTTGGATTTAATTATTTCTATATGCCATCATTCTATGACATGACATATAGCGAGGATGGTGGTGGTGATGGTGGGTTTATACGCACGTACGCAGACAAACAAACAATGGATAATGGGTGTATGTTGATGAGATATGATTATGGGGCCAAAGGAAGGAAGGGGGGATGGATGAATAACAATTGCAAGGAATATATTATGAGCCAGCTTGTTTTTATCTCTGTATCTGTCTGTCCCTGTCTCTGTCTGTCTTCTAATCATGATGATCCGAATGGGGAAGAAGAGAGAAAAGAACGGATTCGGTTCCGTCGGTTGAATTTAAAAGTGGTGATGGGGAGGGGAGGGCAAAAGAATAGGAGCTTTCTTTTCTTTTATTTTTCGTTTTCTTTGATATAGTGAGAATGAGAATGAGAGATCGAGAGCGCAGTGCAGTGCAGTACGGTGGTCTTTTAATTTAGGGATATATATCTATCTATCTAACTATCTACTTTTTGATTTCCCATACAGTCTTTGAATGTTCATTCTCATTTGAAATTTTCATTTTAGGTTAGTCAGTTTGGAAATTTTATTATACATTTTCGTTCGCCTCTTTTCATCTTATTAGATTTGCCCGTGCTCTCCTACTTTAATTGAGTAGAAGAAGATAAATGGATATATCCGAGACCAGTTATTGCTTGTATGAATGAACTTCTTCGGATGTCAAAACAAGCTGAAATAACGCGTGTGAAATGTATTTTTATGTGTAGCTTTTCCTCATTTAAGTGAGTCTCTCGGATAGATGACTTCAAGTGTCTACTACCATACCTAGACATTCGACATCCAATAATAATCTCTAAGCCATGCAGATCACCAAAGTAAACTGCCTCCGCAAGTAATAGATTTGAGTAGCCTCCTGCTGAGGAGAAGTGCTCCGGTTAGTCTTTGCTATAAAGTTGAGCTTCGGAATTTTAGAATTCCTCGAGAAGCCCGGTCCGTTTCAATCCTTGTTTCTATACCTCGAAAGATACCCACGCATAAGAAAGGCGATTCGTGGCCGGCCGCTTGCTGCCGAGATAGGGAATAACGATTGGTATATGGTATCTATATGTATACGTAAGTTTTGAGTTTATGAAATCGGAGGAGGGTCATTCCAACCACTTGATTCGGCGGGCTTATCTACCTACCTACGAATTCAAAGTATATGGATGACTTTAAGTTTCGCATAGAACTATGTCCAGAAGTACGCAGCTGCATATGTGGGGTCTGGTGGTTCCTTGATAGGCCATACATAATACGGAGATACCGGTCCTCGATCCATTTATATAACAGTGTTATTCTAGTATTCCGATCAAAAGCAGTATTCTCGGCGCCTGGACGAGTAAAGAATCCGTTGGTGTCACCGCGGAGTACGGAGGGGAGGGGTACTGTCAGTGCTTCGGTACGGTAGCCCTGAAGGCGCTACTATAGTAGTCGAGTACAGGGTGTTTTGTTGCCACCAAACTTGCAAAAGGTTAAAGAGTAGGGCTTTTTGCAAGGGTAGAGTAAGGTATCCATTGGCTATATAGCTCCTTAGATGCGATCGATCATTTATGCTTTATCTGGAGATCAAACAGCCGAGAGACCTTCTTTTTGTAGTATTTCCCCAGTGTCATCAACACCCCTGAGCTACCCCGGATCTAACCGCGTCTGGAGGGCCCCCGCCCCATACGTCACGGAAGAAACAACCATCAGCCCAATTCAACCAGTGGTAAAGTACTGCATGGGTAACATAATAATATACTCCCAACGGGCACTCCAAGCCCTTGGGGATCTCCTCCGAGAAAATGTTCCTACCTTGAGATCAAAGCATGAAGAATGGGCATTCTCAGCTAGATTCCCTACTACCTACTTGGTACATTCCCCGCTCTTCAATAGGATAAATCTTATGGGGAAGTCATGCTATTGGTAGATGCATGACCGTTCTTGAAACAAGATCAATTTATTCGGTGATGCATGGTAACCATATGAGGAGGGTAACATGGGCTATGCAGGGGAAAAGCTGGAGAGCTGTTGTCTTACACCAAGCCTTTATATAATAAAACTCTCGTCCTCTCTCGCATTCCCCTCTTTTACCTACCGGTTTGGAACAAACTTCAACATAACAACACATAACCTACGAGACCTCCGTATCTGCCGAACTCTCTTTCGCGATAGGTTTCCAATTCTCAATTGCATATCAATCAATCAATCAATCATTCATTCACCAACATGAAACGCGTTTCCGCCATTGCTTTTATAGCCCTCGCAAGCTGCGCAACAGCTGCAATTCCAGATTGCGCCGTTAAGTGTCTGACCGATGCTATCTCTTCGTCTACTACTTGCGGCGCATCCGATCTGAAATGCCAATGCGACACCGCAAACCAGGCCAAGATCCAGGCTGGCGCTACCCCTTGTGTTATCGGGGCTTGTCCCGATCCCTTAGGTACTTATGTTTCTCAGCCTTCGTTCCTTCCTTCATTCCTTACTAGCTGAATGCTTGTCTAACCTGATCATGATCACTAGCTGTTCTTTCCGCTGCTCAGTCTGATTGCGCCGCCGCTACTGCTGGAGGTGGCTCTTCGTCAGCCGTTGCAACAAGTGCAAGCTCAGTGGCGCCAACTGTCACCTCCAGTGATACCACAACTGCTTCTTCGGCTTCAGCATCTGCTGCTACACCTTCGAGCACCTTGACATCATCCACCGAGGTCTCGAATTCGACTGTGACCAGCTCGTCATCCGTGACCAAGGTAGTACCTCCTTTCGCCCCCGCTACTGGGAGCTCTTCCTCTGCTACTGGGAGCTCTTCCTCTGTTGCTGGAGGCTCTTCCTCTGCTGCTGCTGCCTCAAGTACCGCCGCCGCGGGCCAGCTTGTTGCGGGAGCCGGAGGTGTGTTGGCCGCTGGCATGGCCATTTTTGCAGCGTTGTAAAGGTCTTTCGGAATTGGGATTGGAAAAATGGTTGGGAGAGAAATTTGATGATTTTACATGCGCTTGAGGGAATTATGTGGCTGCAGCCTGCAAGGAGTAAACATGTATCTGGTAGAGCAGAAGAAAATACAAAAGTTCTTACTGATATTACTCCGCATAAGGTTCTCATACGCTTTGTCCTGTGACGCCTTGAGGGTCTATTCATCTCAAAAAACCAAAGAACCTACAGCGACTTCCTCAATTGGGGACCACTTGTGCTCCCGCTCCGGACATAAGATAACTGAAAATGGAGAACAATCTGCTCTAGGTAGTATACCCAAATAGACTTGGGGAGAACAACATCCTGCAAACCAACTGGAGATCAATAAAGAGACACCTCGTTACCTTGAAAGTGTAATGCGCTTCACCATCACAAACGTAACGCAAAGTCATCCTGTGACACCAAACGCTTGTAGAACCACCGAATATCACCAAATAACAAAATGCAACAGACTCGGACGCGCTAATTAAGCTGAAGGAGTGACGTTGTACAATTCCCAGCCGGAGAGACGTTTGCGCCGAGTGACAAGACTTAAAGGATTGAAATGCGGGATGGAGGTACGGCAATATACGAATCCAATTCAAAGACCACCGCCGTAGATGAGACGACGTTGGCTGTGCACTTGCGAGCGATAACAGAGCTAGCTGGCATCATCGCGTACAGTACCTGACTAACATTCCAAGCTGAGTGGTGTAGGACTGTTAATTTCCGCAGGAGGAAGTATTTTCTAGATGTCGTCGTGAAGGAGGAGGATTTTGAGTTTTAAAGTCATCCGGTCAGGGGAAACATTGATCCGTCCGGAGTCTCAATCAACACCACACCACTTCCTTTCTCATCTTCGTCTATATTCTCCCTTTTCTATTATTTTTGCCAACTTTATTTCAGGAGTTGAAGAATTTCACTGAGATCACAATGCGGCTTGATCCTTAGCTGAAAAGTTTACCCCCCTATTGCAACCCCTCCTTCCTAAATTCCTCTGATCGGCAAGCCACCGGCCTCAGTGGTTGACAAGCCAATGATTCGGTAGTGAAAGTAAGGTTTCTGCAAGTGTTCAGCTCGGCTGCAGGAACGAGCACGGGCAGAGAACATGAAGGATCGAAGGAATCAGCCGCAAGATCATGCCAATATGGAAGATCGTCACACTTCTGAGTCTATTTATACAGCCTCGCTGCTTATAAGAGATGAAGTTCCGAGATGTCAAGGTTGAAGTTGACCAAGTTATTCTTCAGAATATCTCATAATGCATTTTTCAAACTTCATCCTCGGTCTCGCAACTACCACCGCGCTTTCCTCAGCGCATTCCCTTATCCAAAAACGTGCAACAACTTCTTGCACAACACCAAGCGGACCCGGATTCTGCTCATCTACATCGACCGCTTGCACCGGCGGGACGTATGTAGCAGGACACTGCCCAGGAGCAGCAGACATTCAATGCTGCGTAGCAACATGCAGCGCGCCAGCCGGCCAAGGCGTCTGCGAACCGACATCGAACACATGTGCCGGTACTTTCGTCGGCGGTCTCTGTCCAGGACCATCTGACGTGCAATGCTGTCCGTCTGGAGGCAGCGGAGGTGGGTCTGGGACCGGTGTGGCAGGTATCGATGTCTCAAGCACGCCACCATCATCTTTCTGGTCATGCGCTGCGGGGAAATACAAAGTCGTGGCTCTCGAAGGCTACATCCAAGCTTGCGGGTCAGGAGGAGCAGTAAAGTCGAACTTCGCAGCCAACTACAAGGCTGCGCAAGCTGCGGGTATTTCTCGCATCGACGCGTACCTGTTTCCTTGCACGGGGACGCAGAGTAATGGCGTTGCGTGTAAGTCTCCGGCTACTCAATTGCAGGAATTCTTGAATGCCGTGGACAGTAATGGGATGACGATTGGGCATTATTGGTTTGATATTGAACCGACTTCTACTGCGAATGGCGATGCGTGTAATGCGTGGAATCTGGGGAGTTCGGCCAATGCGGCGTTGGCGAAGCAGTGGGTTGCTGCATTGCAGGGTAGTGGGAGGAAATGGGGAATTTATGCTAATGGGTAAGTTGATACAATGTACGCAGCGGCCGTTTATTGACTGGATTTTAGGAACCAATGGACGAGCATGTTTGCTTCGAGGTCGACGGATATTGGGTCTCAACTTCCGCTGTGGGCTGTCCAATTCGACAACAAGCCTGGCGTGAATACTGTTACTAGTCTGATGGGAGGCTGGACGTCTGCTGTTGCTAAACAATATACTCTAGGTGAGTCCTTCGAACCCATTTCACTGAGGCAATCTAACCAGATATAACGTAGATACTACCACTTGTGGCTCTGGCGCGGATTTGGATTCATTTTCAACATAATCATTGGATTTAGACCATAATGTAATTTCGTAATTGCACGCGAATTGAATTTAGAAGCTATCTAGACATATGAATCCTCATGAAGTACTAGTCGCCGTTGACAAGTACACAACCTCTAAAACACCTAGAAATCTTCATGCAGGCAGAACCTAAACTTGAACTTCGATGTCTGATCCATATTACCTTGCCAAGCGAAGAGTTACAGACATTACCCAAGAACTCATGATATACAAATCATCCAAGATACTCCACCTCCACTATCATAACAATATTATGACAACAGAGCCAGCAGGAACGTCTCAGCAAGACCACCACCACAGCAAAATCATTCATCTTCTCTCAACCCCCTTGCTCTTCACCGCCTCCCTAACAACATGCAAACACCTCCCACCCAACCCCCCCATCTCCCGCACCCACTCTACCCACCGAGACCGTCAAAATCTCATCCCCCCTTCTCCACCCCTTCCCCGCATCCACACTCACATCCCGCATCAAAAACCCTCTCAGACAAACCCCCCTACACTCCCTACACACGCCCAACCACCTCGGCACCCCCTGCCCCTCCCTCAACACCAAGAACCGATGCACAGCATCCCAGCAAAACCTATCATCCAACCCCACATCCTCATCCTCATACAACGTCGTGAAAGCCACAAAGGCTCGGTACTCCGGATCCGGCACCGAACCGAGTCTTGGCTGCGCTTGTCCATTTGCTTCTTTCTCAGCCGCTTCTCCCCTCATAGCATGCTCCCAGATCCTGAGTCTGATCTCCGGCGGTAACTTGGGGAAGCAATGGAAAAGCGATGTTGAGGTTTGCTTTTGCGGTTGCTGCGTCGTAATATTGGCGCTGCAGTTGTCGGTTTCATTTTCATGGCGACTTGGAGAGCGGGATTGGGATTGGGTTTGGGATTGGGATTGAGGGTTCGTGACAGGATGGGCTTGAGCGAGCGGTGGGGGTATAGACATAGCACCAGCAGCGCTCGCCATGATATGAGGACGAGGATGAGGACGAGGACCGGGGGGAGCACGAGGACCGGGAGGAGCACGCATAATCGCATACGAATTCCCACACGCTCGACCCTGATACCTCCTCTTATGCAGCGCATTCACACTCACATCCACAACCCCACCCCATTTTTCCAGATTCCTCAGATAAAAAGCATCCGGGGTTGTGACTGCCACTGCCACTGCCGCGGCCTGTCGTCTTTTCCATAGCGGTTGGGAACGCGGTGGTGTTGCGATGATATCAGGCTCCACTTTTACATCCGCTACACCTACACCAACACCAACACCACAATATCTGCTTCTGCTTTCCATTCCTTCCACGATAGCTGCGTACTTGCAAGCACAAGTTTCGATATTCCCGTCGAAAAGCACAATGATTTATGGATTAAATCTTTGAAATAAACATTGACCGAAGTTATGAATGGAAGAACGGGGTAGACGGTGCGAAACGAGCTGTGTCCAGGCCTGCGTAGGCAGATAGATAGATAATCACGTGCGCGCTCTCTCTCTTTCCCTCTCTTATAATTCGAAGAGTAAAGCGGTATAATGTTCTAGAATGAAGGATCAGGTTTCTTTAGAGGGGAACGCTATCCAAGCTTATAAGTAAGGCAAGTGGTCTACGCACGTGTGACAAAATGACATCTCCATCTTTAAAACTAGATAAACACTAAATAATTAAACCACTTTAGTGTTGATGGCTAGGCGCCTCTAAGGGAACAATATTATGAACTAAGGGTCTAGGTCTAGGCCTCACAATAGCGAAAGAGAATACGACATTATGTTTGTATGGTATCTTATAGAATTATGTAGTGTAGAAGGTTTTTATGTACAACCTCAAATAAGAAAGAGCAGGATGACTTCCCTAAAACGTGCCCAAGTCTAAAGGCAGCATTTTCATATACCCTCTAAACGCCATCGCCATGCAAAATTTTCACATCAAAAACAAAAGGGTATAACAAGCCACCCACGCCTAATGATTCTGCGTCTTCCCTAAACTCTGCAAGTTCACGAGCTCAGAGTATCGGCCCCCCTTATGCATCAACTCGCCATGCGTCCCAGACTCCACAATGACACCTTGGTCGAAGACATAAATGATATCCGCCTTCTGGATTGTACTCAGTCGATGCGCAACTGCAATCGTCGTGCGACCTTTAGCTGCTTTGTCCAACGCCGCTTGAACCACGTGTTCACTCTCCGAGTCAAGCGCCGAGGTTGCCTCATCGAGCAACAATATCTTGGGATCACGGAGCAGAGCGCGGGCGATGGCGATACGTTGTTTTTGGCCACCAGAAAGCATGGATCCTTTGGAGCCGACGACCGTGCCGAAGCCGTCGGGGAGGGACATTATAAAGTCGTAGATATTGGCTTCGCGGCATGCGTATTCGACTTCCGAGTCTGGGACGTCTGGGCGGTCAGCCCCCAGGAGGATGTTCTCGCGGATCGTGCCTTGGTACAGAGTCGGTTCTTGGGATACAAGGGCGATGTAGGAGCGGTAATCGTTGATGTTGAGAGAAGAAATTTCTTTGCCGTCCACGTATATACCTCCGACTAGAGGGTCGTAGAATCGTTCAAGGAGGGCAATGGTAGTAGACTTTCCGCAGCCAGATGCTCCGACCAAGGCGATATACTGACCAGGTTTCACAGAAAGGTTCAGACCACGGAGGACGGGTTGTTCTGGACGTGTGGGGTATCGGAAGTGGACGTCTCGGAATTCAATGGTACCATCACATGACTCGAGACGTGCACCATCGGTAGACCATGAATCGATGGCCGGTTTACGGTCGAAGAGAATCTTAAGTTCTTGTGCTGCCTGCTTGGCTTTGCCCATGTCCGCTAATACATTGTTAGGAAATGTGGATCGAGAACGTCAACCGGTACTTACGTGCGAATGAGAAGATTGTTCCAGCGGACTGGGCACCGAAGATCACAGAGGAAAAGCAGACGAAGAACTGAAACAGGTCGTACTCGCGGTCTGCAATACGATTGCCACCATACCTATAACAAGTTAGTTTACTGAGACGAAAGAAGTTGGGAAAGCGTACCAGAAACCAAGAGCAACACAGAGGAACATCAATGATTGCGAAGCGGCGTACAGAAGCGATGATTTCAGAATCGATTCCAAACTTCTCTTGGCTTGAGATGATAAAGCGGCCCTATAATGCTCCAAAACGTCGTCTTCTCTCGTCAACGAAGCAACTGTGCGAATAGCACTCGTCGCCTCACATGCATAACTAGCACTAGTTTCGTAGGATTTCTTTGCTCGTCGTTGGAATTGGGCAAGAAGCCAAAATCTGAAGAAACCACAGCCAAGGAGAATAGGGATTGTTGCAGTACAAACAAGAGCCAGTTTCCAACCGATTGCGGTGGCGACAGTGATGGCAGCAACAAGAGTTGTGATGACAGTTAAAAGTGTGCCTAAAGTAACGCCTGACAGACCCGCAACATGAGTCGTCTCTGTGCTGAGAAATGAAGTCAGAGCACCTGCACTGTTCTCATCCTTGTCGAAAAAGGCAATGTCCTGTCGAAGCATTGTTCTGAAAGCTCGGTCTCTGACCCGATGAATGAGCCTCTCAGAGCAATATGCAAACGCAATACCCTGTCCACAAAAGGCGATAAACTGGACAAAGGCCAACATGAGATACATCAAAGACCAGAAATCGACATCGTGGCGAACATGTTGCTTTGCTCCTGGTATCACTGCCCCGGTGATTGGGTTCTTTAAAGGATAAGAAAGCGCCATGATTTCTTTGGCAAAGAAGACTGCTTGAGTTGGATTTCCTCCTCCACAAATGATGGAGAAGACAAGTCCGACGACCATTAGTTGCCATTCAGTTTTGTTGAAAGAGGCAATCAGTTTCATCAAGGTCCATAGTGAGTCTTGGTGGGTTCCGTCCGCCTTCCGACCTTGTAACGCCAAGGAAGATTGGGATATCTCAGACTGGGTACGATTCAGTTTTTCGCCTATATTCTTGTCATCCGGGTCCTCCATAAAACCAAGACCAGTCTCGCTGTTATTGGACAATTCTCGAACAAGTCCGTCATCTTTAGCATCAACTTCTGCTTCCTCCTTGGGGCTGAATTCGTTTGTTTCCGCAATCTTTTGGGCTTCGATCAGGTTATAATAAGCGCCGCGCCTGGCTAACAACTCGTTGTGCGTGCCTTGCTCGACAATGCGACCTTCGGTCATAACAACAATGTTGTCTGCATCCTTGATTGTAGAGAGACGATGTGCAATAGTGATTGTGGTTCTTCCGGCGGCAGCAACTTCCAAGGCAGCTTGTACGACGCCCTCAGACTTTGTATCCAGTGCCGACGTAGCCTCGTCAAGTAGTAGGATCTTAGGGTCGCTAACCATGGCTCTTGCAATAGCAATACGTTGCTTCTGACCTCCAGAAAGGAGGAAACCACGTTCTCCTACATTGGTCTCATAACCCTCAGGCAGAGCGGTAATAAAATCGTGGGCGTTGGCCATTTTGGCAGCTTCAATGATGAGATCGTTTTTCTTCTCGTCTTTCTCCCCCTCAAATCTTGTTCCGATGAGCCCGTGACCGATGTTTTCGAATATAGTAGTGCCAAAAAGAGTTGGTTCCTGGCTAACGAGCGAAATTTGTTGACGCAACCAACGAAGGTTTAAAGTGCTGACATCGTGGCCATCTAAGAAAACTTGGCCGCCAACAGGATCGTAAAATCTCTCTACCAAGCCCACAATCGTACTCTTGCCAGATCCGGAGGCACCGACAAGAGCAGTCTTCTTGCCTGCTGGGATGGTCAGGCTGACATCTTGCATAACCGTAACCTCTGGTCGGGAAGGATAAATATGCTTGATGTTCTTCAATTCGATCGTTCCCTCTACATGAGGCAGAATTTCTCCATCGGTTGATGTGGGGTCTAGCGGGGAAACACGGTCGATGGTGTTGAAGATCTTGGTAGCCGCAGAAATTGCAGTGGTAAATGCTTGAACGTTGGGAGCAACGTTTCCCAGCGAAAATGCGCCGATCATGATGGACATTAATATAGTGAGAATAGAGCTTAAGTTGATCTCCCCCTCGACTAGAAATCTGCTTCCCATCCAGAATGCAAGGCCGTAGTTAAGATAGATGATCATGAACATCCCGCCAACCATTATACCGATGACGAATTTGACTTTGTATCCAAATTTCTCGGCAGTGGCCAAGTGGGCATCGTATTGGCGAGCTAGCTTGTCTTGAGTTCCGAAAGCGACGGCATTTCTGATTGATGAGATGACTTCCTCAGCAACGGAGCCACCGAGAGCGTAAGATTCAAGAGACTGCTTGCTGTATTTGACAATAAAGGTAGATCCGCCCCCCATTGTCACAGTAATAGCAGCGACAGTGGAGGAAAGTATCAACGTGAGCTTCCAGGACTTGATAAAGCCGATGACGAAGGCTGTGACGAAGGTTGCTACCGCGGTCAAAGTCAAGCCGACCTTCTCGGAAATTCCATCCTGGACCAGATTTGTATCTGCTGTAATCCTTGTGGTGATTTCTCCAGATCCAAGGTTGTCAAAGAAGCCGATATTCTGCCTCATGCAAGCCTCCAAATACTCAGCACGGATCTTCCCACTGATGTGTTCTCCTGTATAGATGAAGCCAACCGTTGTGATGTAGATGGTAATGAACTCGGCAATGCCAATGTAGATGAAGTACAATACATTATGCACAATGCTCTTCTCGAAGGCCTCGTGGGTGGTGGTACCGGCGAAATATCCATTGAATTGTCCAGCAAGTCCTCCGAATACGACTGTCATAAGGGGCAATGCTGCCCCTGCAGCTATTGCGCAGACACCGCTGACTGCCATGATGATGTAGTCATTGACCGTCGCATATCGATATAATGCCTTCCATCCACTCTTCACCACGGGGATATCGACCTGGCGCTTCAATATCTCAGCCTCAGCTGCGGGGAGATGCGAATAGAGATCTTGGTCTTTCGGTGCGACATTGACAATTTGCGAATCATGCTTGTTGAGTGCGCCTTTATGGCTCGAGTGCAGCGGCGTTGCGTGCCCCTCTTTCTCTGTCTCCGGCTTTAGGGAGAATTCGTGCTCGTCGGTCGAAGTGCCATGACTTGAGGTTTGCGATCGCGTAGATACTTGACCCCTTGAGTTAGGCTTTTCGGCGAATTGGCCAGCCATGTAGGCGGCTTGGAGGAGTGGAAGGTTATTCGAAGGAGTTGAGGATCAGCGCAGGCGGGGCACGTCTGACTGGGTGCAGGTGAGAAACAAAACACAGAGCTGGGTGGGGTGGCAACAACCTTTTGTCCACGGCACGCCTGTTGACGAAACTCTGGTTTCTGCGCAAGACTGCAGGACGAAAATATGGGTGGGTAAGGGAGAGGAGGTTATATTCAGTGTAGAAGTATGGATTTTGAGCAAAGGACAAAGAAACCAGATAATATCATAGTACTGGTAGTAAGGTAGATACGAAAGTAAATACTTGTAGAATGGAAAGGGAGTCACCGTATGACAAAAGCTGTTACTCGTACAAGCGTACGGATGGACACAGTCCCGCGAGTCTTTTATGCTACATTGATTATTGCAGCGGAAATACGATGAAATGACAGTCAATACGCCAAGTGCGCCCCCAGCCTAGTTTTCCTCTCTTCCTCTCTTCCTCTCGTCGTGGTAGGTGCCTTCTCTGCTCGCTCTCTCGGAGGTAAGAGGTAAGAAAAAGACTGGACTGGTTTGATCTTCCCGCTTCTTAGTACTGTCCTTGACCTCTCTCACTGACACTTATGCTGCACTTACTCACTCGCCGCCTCGCGTATGCACCCCAAACGCCGACCCTCCGTTTCGGTGGATCGGTCCGGTCGTACTAGGGGACTTTTGATTTGTGCATTCGTTTCTGGCGTTTCGTATAATATGTTTTGGATCTTATATATTGCTGGTTTAGACTTCTATTACAGTACAAATCAACTGGTATGAACTAGTGTTTGCCACGGATTGAGTTGAGATCAGATGATCTGATTGGCTCAGCGGTGTTTGCGCAATTGCTGCCAGTGCGGCATTGCCTCTGATGACTGTGTCGGAGGTAACCCCGCCTCCTCGAAGGTCCACGTTCGCATCTCTTCGAGACCGATTTGGCTGTGTCATGCGGTATCATCATGAATCATGATACAGACACACATTATTACGAAGTACCGGTATTCTTATTGCTCGCAACGACATGGGAGGATACCTTATATCAGACGGGCATTGACAACCTCCGTCTCCTCCACCATCCTACACTTTTCCCAACTTCCCTCCAATGAAGAGCTTTATACTGTAGTAAGAATGTACGAGTACGAATCAGCTCTTCCTAGAAGAATATAAGCACCTTCCCTTTCGGTGGTTTATCATAGTCATACTGTACATTACCTACAGTGGGGTGCAAAAAGATCCAACACCCCCCCTTGTCAAACTAATTTCACTACCCCATTTAGGCGAAAATAATACTCGAGTTACGGATAGCTTACCTATTCGAACCTAGGTTAGTCAAATAGGCAATAGAGGTAAGATGTTATGTTGCAACCGAGATACGTACGCAAGCGCAAGGTAAGCCTTTCTCAGAATACTGCCCAAGGTAAATCTTAGGTATGAAGTAGACGGCCAAGTCAGTCGGGAGGCTCAACCGCAAACATATGATGAAACCAAGTTGCGAGCACGAGCACGAGCACGGATACGCCTATCTCGAATTAATGAAAGTCATCTGGTCCTTCGTAGATCCGTAGATCCCCCGCAGGCGAATCTTGCGCCTAAACTCCGAGGCAGCAAAATAGGGTCACGTGAACTATTTACACGTGATTTACGATATGGATACTGATTATCCGAAGTTCTAACGTGCCGCGACTTGGGAGTTTGAAAGTCGCATCGCGCCCACTGCAACAACTCCTCTACTCAGCTAGTGTTGAAGGAACAGCCACGCGCAACCGCCAATATGGTAGGCAAGAAATCTGGCAAGGCACTTCTGCGGGAGGAGGGCCTCGAACGAACCGACAATGGCATGAAGCAATCCAGCTGGCCGGATGTGCCCATGGTCAACCAAAAGAACTACTACACGTACGTATCGCTGTTGGGAATCCTAGATGCTCATGTCTAGTCATCCCATGGGTCATAAACGCAGATGACCTCCCTCTATCACGTTGTTTTCACTTCCTTTTACGCGCAAACCGTCTGACTCCAGAGCTGATGGTTGGACAGAGAGTATATGAAGCGCGATGACCAGATCCTCCCCATGCGCCTCCAGAATGAGGCCAACCGAGATAAAATGATTCGAAATGCCAAAGACCGCGATCGAGCACTTGCACGAACCGGCGAGACTGACGTTCCGATTATTACCAATGCCGAGGGGGACCTAGAGGATGAGGATGAAGTAAATGATGGGCTTGATCCTTCCAAGATCATTTGCATTCATATTGGAAGTCAGAACCTCCGGATAGGCTTTGCAAATGATGCTCTGCCTAAAACTGTACCAATGGCAATTGCCACCACAGCGAAATTTACAGAGTCGGAGAGTGCGAAACCCATTCCCATACGTGAGGATGCGGATGAGAGTCCCGAAGAACAATTTGGGGAGGAATTTTCGAAGAAGTTTGTCAAGATGTCGAATGAACTAAAGACAGATATGCGAGCAAACAAGCGGAAGGTTCTGCCAAATTCCAAGGAATTGGTGGTCAATTACAACCGGCGAACGGTTCCAGAAAAGATCCCCGAACACAACGATCCAATTCGCATCGAGTGGACCGATATCACAACCGTTGATCTCAAATCTCGGGCTTCGTTTTTTGCTGGCACACCGGCTCTGCGGATACCGGAGGACTCAGATCCTAAATTTGCGCTTTCCTGGCCGATTCGGCATGGATGGCTTCACGAGGCAGATTACACAAGTCAAGAGGCTTTGTTTGATGATTTAGAGAGCATTATCGAGTATGCTATGCAAAACGAACTAGGCTTGAAGAATCGCAACGAGTGGGATCAATACAATTGTGTATTTGTCATCCCTGACCTATACGACAAAATATACGTCCAGCGGCTGCTTGAATTCGGTATCAAGGAGATTGAGTTCAAACAGGTGTCCTTTATACAAGAAAGTCTTGCTGCGACATATGGAGCGGGTTACAGTAGCACGTGTGTGGTCGACATTGGGGCTCAGAAGACCTCCATCTGCTGCGTGGAAGATGGTATGTGTGTTGAGGACTCTCGCATCAACCTCAAGTATGGCGGTTTTGATGTTACAGAGACTTTCATAAGGATGATGCTATATGATCACTTCCCTTACCAGGATATCAACCTCATGCGGCGGTATGATTTCCTTCTTGCTGAGGAACTCAAGATGAACTTTTGCACAATGAACCAATCGGAGATTTCGCCACAACTTTACAACTTCCATTTACGAGCACCAAGTCAAGCAACTCGAAAATATCAATTCAAGACTTATGATGAAGTGATCCTGGCCCCAATGGGCTTCTTCGACCCATCGATATTCGACAATAGCGAAAAGCTAAAAGGTCGTCGAGATCTGATCAAGCGATCTTACAACGCATACGAGACCGATGTACCTGATGATCCCACCTCGGCTGCCCAGCTAGCCATACTGACGGGTATCAAACCCTCACTAGCCACAACAGCAAATATCTTCACGACGAATGGGAACGGCAACACCGAATTCGCAACGCCATCAAAAGAAAAACCAAATCCCCTTAATTTCCTCTCCCGCATGGACAGCGAAGCAAATGGCGTAACATCAGCAGCAGGCTCCCCCGCCCCAGAAGGAGCCAATACCCCCATCCCCGCCGCGCCCTTCGTCTTCGGCGCCAATGGCAACAGCGGCTCCCCAGGCCCCAACCCCCTCAATGGCTCTCACAATGGCGGCACACCTGTTCCCCCAGCAGGCATGTTCGTCGACCAGTACGCACGCACACAAGAAGACCTTGCCATCGAGCGCGAATCCGTCTTACCCGTCGTACCCCTCGACACAGCAATTATTACCAGCATCTCCAACGCCTCTCGAGGCGAAGACAAGAAAGCACGCGATTTCTTCGGCGGGATTATGGTTATCGGCGGCGGAGCCAAAACGCCTGGTCTTGGCGCCTTTCTTGAAGATAAATTAAGGAAGAAGCGTCCTGATCTAGGCGAGAAGATACTCGTTGGCACGAGTCCGAGGGAGATGGACGGGCAGGTTGTTACGTGGAAGGGGGCGAGCATCTTTGGGCGGCTGAAGACGCACGAGAGTTGGATTGGGAAGCCAGAGTATGAGAGGTTGGGGAGTAGGGTGTTGTATCACAAAGTTTTATGGAATTATTAAGTATTTGGCGTGGAGTTTAGGGGTCTGAAATGGATGGTGTTTGTGGGAACTGGAAAATGAATAATGGGATCTTGCATGGGTGGCGTATCGTATGTACGAATAGATATGGATATAAAAGCTAGCTCGCAGTGGGTTCCTAGAATAATGGAATGGAATGAGCTATGATCTGGCCATTTTCAAGACCTTATATATATACACCCACATAACCACCTAATGCTGCATACCGGTACTTCAAACCAATACTGGCTCGCTCGCTCTCTAACAACTCCTTCCTATATCTCATCCCCGTAACAATCAACCGTGGAGGAAAACATAGTTGGTGAACAAAGGGGAAGCGAAGTTGTATACACAGTACGCGAAGATCCGACTGGGACTAACTACACATACCTGCTTGCGACTTGACTAACAGATGACCGACTTTTAGCTAAAAACAATCCTCTGTTCCAATATTATCATCATCAACATCCTAACACCCGCCTAATTTTGCAAACCACCAGAAAAATCTTATTAGTCTCCAATAGTACATACATACATACATACATACCTTAGAACCCGAAAAGGCAGTTGGTTGGAAGAGTTAACTCTGTCTGTCTATTTGCTTCATCCGTCCGCTTCTTGGTCCTCGCCGACGCGCCCAGGACTTTTGTGACTTCTTTTTAATCTTGAATGCAAAGTGCAAAGTGCAGAGACAAAATGTAAGGGTACTCCTGGAAGGAAGGAAGGAAGCAGGGTGTATTGTTCTAGAAACAGACAAGGCTGCGTGCGTCTAGAAAGCTGGTGTGTGGAAATCCCACGGTCGCGAAGCGCAACAAGTAAGACTTACGGATTATCTGCACCGAACCCAACGTCACGGTACTTGTGGGTCTTGTAATTGCGTGTTTATGTTTATTAGTCTGTGTGTGGATTGGGATTATATCTATAGAGGTTTTAATTATTTAGTAGGCTTTAGACAGATAAGGGGTGGTCTATTATCTATCTCCCACTCCCATTATTCGCAATCAACGTCGTCGTGCTAGTGCCAGCACCAGCACCCGTGGCCACTGCGCCCGTCGAGCGGGCCAGCGTCAGGATGCGAGCTGTGACGTCCGAGACGGTCGTTAGGTTTTCGAGGGACATTAGGTAGGCTGCGAGGCCGGTTATGTGGGGTGATGCTGTGGGGGAGGGGGGGGCTGGTTAGTATTATATGTGGTGGGTGTATGAGGTATGTATTTTGGGAATGGGGGGAGAAGGGAAATAAGGAGGAGGGGAAAAAGAGGGCGGAAAGGCACTTACCCATACTCGTACCACTTAATGTGGCAGTGGAGGTATCGCTTTTGATACCCACGCTCAGAACATTCACACCTGGGGCAAACAGATCCACAGCAGGCCCGAAGTTCGAAAATGAGGCTTTGTTGTCGTTGCCATCGATGGCTCCGACTGTGATTACGGACGGGGCTGAGGCAGGTGAGGTGTCTGATGCATCTTGCTGTGAAATTTAACACACATTATCAGTAAAGTTACTCTCTTTGTTGTTTGTTCATCCCGGAAATGAGGAGATGATTAGGGCAACGAGTACGGAGTAAGTGCCATCTCGATATCAGTCTTGACTTACATTATCATTCCCGGCAGCTACGACGACTATCACGCCCGCTTTGACCAAAGCTGCAACAGCTGAGTTGAGCGCTGTGGATTTAGATCCTCCGATTGACATGTTCATGACTGCTTTGCCGGCTAGACCGCTCGCTGTTACGTTTTGAGCCACTGTTCGTAATTAGAATTATATGATAGATTATATATGTTTACATGTATGAACATAGGGACTAGAATCAAAGGGGATTGGATAGGATGGATGGGAATGGATCCACGAACCGAAGTTGAGTCCTGAAATAACACCGGAATTGCTTCCTGCTCCATCGGCATCGAGAACCTTGACGGCTACAAGGTTGATGGATTTGGATACTCCGAATGTAGCCCCGCCGATGGTGCCAGCTACATGGCTTCCGTGGCCGTTTTCATCGGTATCCTAGATAGATAGCTAGGATTAGTATTGATATTTCGATTCCGGGTTTGCGCTGGCTCGGGATATGCATAGCATGAGTGAAGTACTTACAACCGTGTTTACAAAGTTCGCTGCAAAGGTAGCTCGGCCTCCGAATTCCTACATAACGCAACACAGCATAATCAGACCGGGAAGCTTGACTAGGAGTATCATGTAGGCTCACACTATGCGATGTCCGAATCCCAGTATCGAGCACATACGCCGTAACCCCAGCCCCAGCCGAGTCATCGAAAACATAGTTGGTGCTGCCCACAGCCGTATGCGATAGGCGATTCAAACCCGCCGGCGCAGTAGCTTGTTGGATGAAAGAATTCGTCTTGACGATTGTATCGGCCTCGATATACGACACCTAACCCGAATATATCAGCAAGAGTAATAATCATCCATCATCCATCATCCAGACCACTCCCCATAGTCCCGACAGGAACCAACTAACCATATCCGTACCCGCAATCTCCTTCATCATATCATCCTCAGCCTCCAACACCATACCCCTCCACCCACCCATCGCAAACACATCCATCGCTCCCGCCACCGTCCCCCCATCTACCCCGCGCTTCCGCAGCGCGGACAGGATGGACGCTTGGTGCGTCTGGACCGCTGCGTCCGTAGCGTTGTTCTTATACACGACAATGTATTTATTCGGAATAACATTACTGGCCTGAATATTGGAAATAAATGGGACTCCAACTCCAACTCCAACTGCAGTGCCATTGCTATCGATCTGTCGCGAGCGCAAACTGGTGGTGACTGGAGTAGAATGAACGAGGGCGAAAAATGCAGCAAGGAAAGAAAGGAGGGGAAATATGACTTTTGAGGAGGAGAAGAACATCGATTGATCGGGAGGGAATTGAATTGAAATGAAAAGACTGGTGGTAGTAGAAATAGATACTGCAGGATGAAGTGAAGGTAAGGGGAGAAGATAGAACAAAAGAAACTCGAAACTCGAAACTCGAAACTCGAAACCCGAAGCCTGAAATGAAATGAAAATGGAGAAACTGGCAAGAGAGAACGAAAGGAAAATCGCGAGGATATAAAAGTCTTTATTTACTCATTGTCAAACACCCATATCTCAGCCAGCCAGCCCGTCAAGGAGAAGGTGACACAGCGCCAAGTCAGAAACCAACGCGCGCGATTCAATGGAAACCACAGACCTACTAAGCGCCCAAGTCACCTGCAACACAACCCAGTCATTCGCTGCAATCGATTCCCCGCCTCCGTTTCAAGGAATTATAAATAGAATAGAATGAAATAGATCGTCTCATTTTAGATCCGTAATGCGTAGCCATTTGATTGGAAATGAAGCCACGTAGAGCACGCCTGGAAGTTGGTTGATCTGAGACGAGTGAGGTCTTTAGATACCTACCTATTATGCAACAAAAAAGAAACGAAAGCTAGCGTAGATATCACCAGTGAGTTTCATCTCCAAGGCCAAAACAGATCTTTTAAGCCTCGGAATTGTACAAATTAATTATTTTTCGAGTGTTTTTCGACAGTCTATCTATCTTATATCTCTAGTCCAGCCCCCCTTCTAAATTAAAACAATGACAATATTTAAAGGAAATGCGGTGCGTCTATATATAGTGTGTCAATATAGTATGTGGGTGTATATGTGTAAGTGTATGTGTATATGGGGCATCAAATCAATCAATCAATCAAGCCTTCTCCGAAATCTTCTTCTCCTCCTTATGCGTCTTCGTCTTCTTGGGCACACGGAAAAGCCAGTAAAGGAAAACAGCCATGCAAGCGTTGAACGCAATGTACGCCCAGAGGATACCAAAGTTGCGCCATCGGAGATGGTAGTCGAGGCCGAGTTGAGCCAGGTAATCATTGGTCGAGCCGATTGCGCAGAACTCGCAGGCTGAAGTTGCGCTTGGGTTTATGACTTGACGCGCCTGGCCAACGGTGGCGTTGAGGTAAGGAGTCATATAGGTGCCACAGTTCATGCCGGAGGGAGGGTCGAAGGTAAGAAGCTCGTTCTTGGCACATACAACGTCGTTGTTGGCGATGCCGACTGACAGCATGCCGTCGACGAAGTATGTGAATGGCGAGACGCGGTACATGAAAATCCAGAAGCCAGGGAAGACCTTAGGGGACGCGAGAACACCACAGAAAAGGAGAGTGAGCGTGAATGTCAAGTTGGCAATGTTACCACCCGTCTCGGCGGTTTCGATGGCGGCGATAACCATGTTAGTAAACGTCGAGGTGAACAAGAGGAATTGCCAGATAAACAAGAACATTAAACCGCCGCGTTCGGTAACTTGATCGTCTGGTGTTGCGTTTTTAACCAGACCAATGGGATAATAAAAGCAAAAGAAGATGAGAACGGCCATGAAACTATTCCAAGGTAGCTCGACAACGATATTGGAGACCATGAAAGTAAACCAGGAGTAAGTCTTTGATGGTCGCTCACGTGCTTCATATAGAGAACGTTGGGTGACGAAATGGGGCATGATTTGTTGGACGAGTTGACCGAAGATGGTGAAGAGCATGAAGACCGAGAACATTTGATTTTGCAGCTCTTGTTGACTGGTGCCGGCGTCGAAAAAGGAAAACCCAATGAACATAGCCTATCAGTGTTAGTAAATAGCTAGATGAAATTCGACATTTGCAACGTACCGAGGCTACGCAGAGCGCCATTTTGGAATAAATATAAGATGGAGTACGCCAATACTGTTGGAAAACACGCTGGAGAACCTCCAGTAGCTGGACCGTGCCCGGAGCGGCAAATTCGTTGTAGAGGGACTTGTCGTCTGACGCTGAAGCGGCTTCTGTCTCTCGAGGACGGGTTTCCTTTAGACGCTGGAGTTCTCCACGGGTTGCCTGGTACTCAGGGCTGGCTCTCCAGACTGCTGGCCAATCGATCTCTGTGGCGGTTCCTGGAGCAGCTCCGATGACTTCCAACATCCACTCGGCCGGATTTGCGTCTGCTGGGCAAGGATTTGCTCCGTTGGCTTCGAGGTAGCTTCTGAGGATCGAAGAGTTTTTGCCAACTTCGCCGAAATAAACAGTCCTGCCGCCCTTGGCAAGGAAAAGTAGGCGGTTGAAACGTTGGAATAGCATAGCAGACGGTTGATGAATCTGTTGACCCGTTAGATAGAGCAAGGTAAAAGGGTAGAGGAACATGCAGTGCAGAGAATAGCTTGACCATTCTTGGTCAACTTTTCCATCAGATCACAAATTGCCCAAGATGTTTGACTGTCCAAGCCAGAGGTAGGCTCATCCAAAAACAGGAGCAAGGCAGGTCTAGCAGCCAACTCAACACCAATGGTCAAACGTTTGCGTTGCTCAACATTCAGACCTAAAGAATGGTTAGTGGGAGGATTCTCTGCAGTTTTCGGAATGATAACATACCTTCTCCAGGAACACCAACAACGGCATCGGCATAGTCAGTCATATCTAACAACTTAATGACCTCGTTGACATACTCGAGCTTCTCTTTGCGCGGGACCGAGGCAGGCTGTCGAAGAATAGCGCTGAAGTTCAGTGCCTCACGAACAGTAGATGTAGACAAATGGAGATCTTGCTGTTGAACATAGCCGGTTTTGCGCTGGAAAGAAGCATCACGTTCACGACCATCGACAAACATGTTGCCTGTGATGACACCCATAGTCGTTCGCGTCGCCAGCACATCAAGCAGAGTCGTTTTTCCAGCCCCAGATACACCCATAAGTGCTGTCAGAGTGCCCGGCTTTACCCATCCATCAACGTGGTCCAAGATGCGTCGGGTTTCGGACTTGATTTTTACATCGTAACAGACATCCTCCCAGTGGAAGATGGCGGTCTGCTTCTTGATCATGTTTAGATTGTCACCATCCTCACTTGTCGCTGTGCTGGGCTTTGAAGAAGTTGGTACACCAGATTCGACATCGGATCCAGATTCCTTGAGTGCAGCTGGGAGATGACCTCTTCGGAAAACTAGAACTTCTCCCTTGGACTTCTTTGCGGTCACATATTCGGCGGCAACCAAATACGTCGCCATGAGACCAACGAGGAATACCCAGAGAATTCCGAAGTTCCTGAATAAAGTTAGCTGTGGTTTTAAAATATGGGCACGAGGGTAAATTACCTCCACTTATGATTTGGCATGTACTTGTATGCAGAAATGATATAGGTACTGCCACTTACCGTGCTGGACCCAGCCGTTGAGCCCACAGCAGAGCAAACTTGTTCCGAAGCAGAAGCATTCGCATATGCGTCGCCTGACGGTACAAATGCGGAACACAAGAAGTCTCTTCCAGCAAATTCGTTAATCATTAGACTTTCGAAGCCATAAGCAACGGGGTCCATATAGTTCATCCATCTCGCCCACCCGCGCATGTTCGGCACCGGCAGAGCAAACCCTGTGTAGATGACGATGCCAAGAATCAAGACGGCCGCGGGGGCCATGGCCTGTGACAGAGTTCTACTCATGGAAGCGATGGTTCTGAACAACATAGACATGACGAGCGTCATCATAAAAGAGATGAGCACGAAATAGAAGAAATTTCCCGGGTGTCTGTTGAGATTTGTCATGAAGTAGAGCGTTATGTTGAAAGTGAAGGCGTTCGTAATTTTATAAGGCAAGTCCGTAATCATAGAAGCCAGTGCCTCACACGAAGGATGGTAGAAGGCGTAGCGGGAGTGTTTCTCGACGATAGGACGCTGGGCATAGAGAGTAAGAATCTATTGATGGTCAGTTGATCCTCGGCCAAAAAAGAAGATATCCACTTACTTCCAAAGCGCTACCAAAAGCGTTTACCAAAATAGCAAAGAACAAAACAGCGCTCCGCGAGAAAAAACTGTCTGTGGTGGGCTTCATATTGTAAAAAATACTGCTGAGAATGAGAGACATTATGAAGTTGCCGAAAAGCTGAGTCAATGTCAAAGTGGGGTCACCCCTGAGTCTCCAGAAGCCACGACGAAGACATAGCCTGACCTGCCCCATGTAGGACAGTGTATATGGACTCGTGATTCGCTGGTTCTTGGCCTGTTGTGCTCGCCTAGATTCCTGGAATTCTGTCAAATGTTCTCCATCGAGTTGAAATTCATTGTTGTATGCATCAATTTCAGCTACAAGCTTCGTTCGCTCCGGACTTTCCTTCCAGACACGGGCAAAATCTTCCGAAGTGCGAGGAACCCGGTTCTCAAACCCTGGGCGAACGGTACGTTCTTGGGGACTGGTCATGGATGTAAGATAATCAGCTACAGTCTGACTTTCCGGACAATCGAATCCGAGGTTTTGGAAATATCCCAGCGCATCGCCAGCTCTTCCAAAGTAAATTTGACGGCCTTCATAGAGAAGAAGGACCTTGTCGAACAGCTGTAACTATCCGTTAGCAATATGCCCAACCTATTCTTTGGGGATTCTTACGTCGTATGCAGATTGCGGAGCTTGATAGATAGCAACGACGGCCGTAGTGCCAGATAATTCGGTTGATTGTCTCAAAGTTTTACAGAACTCAATAGCATTGGCACTATCAAGTCCACGAGTACTGTTATCCCAGCATTGCAAAGGAGCACCACCAAGGGCGGCCTCGGCGATACTGACCCGCTTCCTCTCACCTCCACTGACACCTCGTACGAAATCGTTTCCAACGCGGGTATTGACTGTATGGCTAATACCAAATACCGCCATGATGACGTCGCGAATTAACCTGGAAAACTCTTGATGGTTGGCACCTCCTGGGATATGGCGGGGAGCCCTTGCTGAGGCGGCGAAGTCAAGGGTTTGGCCGACAGTAAGCATGGGGAAATGCACATCGACCTCGGCGGTGTAGATGGCCTCGCCCCTAAAGTCATTATGCATCCGTTTTGGCGAAATTCCCTGGTAGTTGACTTTAGATACTTCTTCAACGTAGAAGCCGTGGGTCTCGCCAGCAATAGTTTTCAGGAAAGTCGAGCAACCACTATACAGCTGTCAGACTTTGCAGGACATGGTGTTGATAATGTGGATACACTCACCTCCCAGGGGGCCCCAAGACAACCAACATCTCACCATTGTGCACAAGACCTTCCAAATTTTGAAGGATATTGATCCTCTGACCCTTATCACCTTTGACAAGTGCTCTGGCAGCTCCAATGCTCTCCAAAAGAACGTTGCCCTGTCCAAAGTAAGCACGTATCCCATACCCCGCGTTTGTCAGGCAATCAACATACCACAGTCTTCTGGTAGTCAGTGGCAGATCCGAAACCGTAGACATCAAGATCCTTGAAAGAAAAGCCGGCAGTTCGTTGTTTCCACTTCTCGGGATCCCGTGCCTCCAGGTTCAACAAAGACTTGGCAAAGGCCCTGGAAGAGAACTTGGGTGATTTTGGATTGAGAGGCGAGTCCTCGTCGGCTTCGAATGGGTTCCCCTCCGCGGCGGAGTGGGTGGACCTGGTAGTATACCGTCTGGCAAGTGCGTGTACGTGTCGATCGCGATGGTCCTGTTCGTCTTGATCACGTTGTGCTTGGGTAGCAGTACGGGACAATGGAGCCTGATCTTTGTCCTCGGCCATCTTCTCGTGGCCGTAGTGTTGTTCAGCACCGGTCTTCATTTCCTCCATCGAAGGAGCGGCTGTGGAATCATTCGAGATGCCATCTTCAGAACGCACGCTTTGCTGCCCCTGCCCTGGACGACCCGAACCAAGCAGCACCGCAGAGTGGTCGTTTGCCCCAAAGGGAGTAATGCCTTGTTGCATTGTCAGTACGTGTACGTTGTGTATTAGCATCAACAATACATACCGACGACCGACATGGTGGTGTTAGTAAGGAGGGAGCACGACCGTGGGTTTGTTTCGATTCCAGAATTTCAGAGCTGGGAAAAGAATTGTCTATAAATGGCGACGATAACTGGGGGGGAGGAATGCACGTGCTAGCGCCGTATCGCGTTGGCGTTGGGTTGAGGATCCACCATGGGCGATGCCCACAATTTTAGCAGATCTTGATAAGTTGACATGATACTATCGCCAAGCGGTCTGCCCCCCGAATACGCACTTCCAGACCGGCCGGCAAACTTGCAATGTACGAAGTAAGGTGGCGACTAGAATTTGCCAATAGTATAGTGTAGAAAGCATTCATCCGGGCTGAAAAAGTAATAAGTTCAGTCTAAAACATAGACAGAATCTTCACTGGGATGACGTTGCAGCCTCAACGAGTCAACAAACAAACAATGAGTAGATCTCACTCACCCTGCATCACCCGTACCGTACCAACGGCCATGCCATGTGTCAGGTAAGCAAGCACCCGGAGCTGGACTTTAGTAGAGACCGTGAAGCGAGTAAATTTGCCTCATTTACGGAGGATAGAGGAATTAATAAGCCAGGTTTTAGAAACTAAAGTACGAAGTAAAATTGATGCAGCGGCTGCGTTGATTAGCTTTGCCGTCTACCTTCTCGAGGACTCGCACTCGTACTCGCACTCGCACTTGGAGCACTTTCACTGGCAATGACTGCTCGTACTCGTCATCTCGGGAGCCGGCTACTCCATCATCCGCCCCAAGACCCCCACCACGGGAGTCCCATTGTCATGAATAGGGGGAGCACCTCCTTAACGCATATATCCGAGTCGCCGAGTGGAGTTTGCGCAGAGCTTCTTATTGGCTGGACTTTGTTAGATTCCGATGGTATCACCCTGAACCTAAACGCCTTATGGAAACTCGTTTTGATTTGGGGAGATGCAACTGTGAACCCCTATTATCATGCTCCTCCTGATCTTCACTTGCAAATAGACTTGCCAATAGACTTTCTACAAACTAACTAACTACCGTGCGTAGGTCTATTCGTTGTGCTGAATAATCATGGGGTATTCGGTGGGTTGGTACTGTACAGCGAAACTGGATTTCTAATCTTAAGTCCGAGATCCACTTGACGACCTGAAAATTTGAGAGAGCAAAAACACCGTGCCATCCCTGTCTCTCTGCAAACGGTCCTTAGGGCAGGAACAGGACGAAGACTGCGCCCGCCCATTCTGACAAGTACCCGCTCAGGGCACGGAGGCTTATCGTCTCATCTCTCTTGCAGGGTCTCGTCATGCAGTATGAACCCTTCAACCAGTAGTCTACATCGTATGGATACTCGTAGGTGCAGAATACTTCTAGAAGTATAGTAGTATACTGTAGTAGTATACAGTAGTACGAGTAGGCTGAGCTGAGTAAAGATACATTTAATTAAAAATATCTAATTTATCCTGGGTCGTACTGTAAGAATACCTCGATAGGCTGAATGCCTAACAAGGTCCAACATAGTAACGATAGACGGAGAGACCCCGCTTAGACCTGCTTTGAAATGCTGGTGCGGTACTCGTAGCCTCGCCGGATGCTTCTTATTCTCCAGGTCCGGTCCCGTCACATTACCGAGCACGGATCATTAAAATTTCTAAGATATCCGTCTCGACAGACACAGACAGCCACCGTCAAATCAGTGCAGGGTTTTTGCACCATTCTGCAAAGATGAATCATCCTTCGCCACTTTTCACATCTCCGCTTACCATAGCCGTCCATATCCACATGCCAGAATCGGATTGCGTTCTCTTATTAGGTAGTTTAATGGTAGCCGTGGCCGTGCAATCACAATTAGACGCGCTTGGATTTCTCATAAGCAACCACATCTCCACAAGGTAAGCCACAATGAGTATGTTCTCGCTTGTTTCCAAAAAAAAAAACATATTCCAGACTCTTTTCTACCTTCTTTTTCAGTCAGTCAGTCAGATCCCATCCCAATCTTTTGATCCATTGGAGGCACATACGTAAGCTGAAATAGATTACCTTCATATAAGACTACCACACTTCTAACCCCTCTCAAACAGACCACCCTTGTATGTAGCCCGCCCTCGAAACCTGACTCCAATCCATTTTCCACAGTTACCCTTGAACTTGTATACAATATTCCAAAGCCCAGCCCACAAATAAAGTACTCCTTCTCCGAGTTTGTGATTTGTGCTTTGTCACTCGTTTTGGTCCCATGGCGCGCGAATCGTCAAGTTCACCAGGCGGAGATAGCAAGCCCATTGGGAGTTCATCATCCAAGAACGCCAAACCCGCTACTCGAGATTCCAAGAGAGGAGCTCTGACCTTATTAACAGGCCAGCACAGTGCTGTAGCGGTGGACAAAAGGCTGCATAGGAGAGTTCGGAAGGCTTGTGAGCGTTGTCGAATCAAAAAAACCAAAGTGAGTAAAGAACCACTTATTAAGCACCTCCAACTGCCCCACCACAATTGAACATGTACTAGATCCTGACAAGTAACAGTGTGATGGAGATTTGCCTTGCAAGAGATGTAAACTGGATGGTTTAGTCTGTATAGCTGGGAGGAGGAAGAAAGGAGAACATAAGGAATTTCCTCCAAAGTAAGTACTTTAAATCTTCATTCTCATGAATCAGCCAATTTCTACACTTTCACCAACACCAAAACAGAAACTCACTGGTCTCCAACAGATACGCCGAGGTTCTAGAAGACACCCAGCATATTCTTATCTCAACGATACATAAGCTCTATGCTAGGGTACGGAATGGCGAGTCATGGAACTTGGGAGAGCCAGAGTTGGACGACAGAGGATTACCAGTTGTCCATGACATTGCTGAGAGACTCGGCTGTGTACGCCCATCATTTGATGAAGATACAGACGGATTTACAGAATTAAATACACCGAATTCCGTCCCAGATGAGCTCCAAGCGAATCTCTCTCGGTACTCCGCGTACCCACCAGAGACCCAGCTGTCATGGGACCATCAACAGCCATCACAGGATCCTAATAACGATATATTGGACCAACAATCTCATGTACTACAATCAACTCAAAAGCATCAATCCCACGTCCTACCCTCAAATTCAAATCAAGAATCCCAATTCGGTAAGGACTCAACCCCGCACCCCCAACTTCCCCAAAACCATCAATATCAAGATTCAAAACTAACCTTTCCCCTCCTTCCCCAGAACCCCAAACCTCCTCTCAAACACCCCCACAATTCACCATCGATCCCCCCATCTACCACAACCCGCAAACCTACATGCCGTCACCGAATTTCCTAAACCCCCACCTCTCCATCCTCAAAACGCAACTACAGCAAGAGAACACGCTACAACACGTCCACGTGAACAGCAGCAGCGAAGAGCACTTCGCGATGCTCGCCACGGACTTGCAGCTGCACTGCCCGTACGATGCGGATGTGAAGCAGGAGATGCCCGATTGTTTCATGGGCTTTGATGTAGCGGCTGATATTGGATAAGAATTGATACTTGCATGCATACATGCCTGTCTCTTGGTCGTGTAAGCATTTCTAGAAAACCAACCAACCAACCATGCTTTGCTTGCTCTGCTCGCAAAGATATGCAGTACGTGTGAAAAGGGCCGGCTGGGATATTGCATTGGCCGTGTTCTGGAAAAGTGCATGTTTTGCTCGTGGTGGAATTCCACGGCTCGTGCGTCCTTATCAGATAAGCCGAGCCAGTTCGGTATCGATGACGGTGTTGTTGGGTGGAGGGATACGGAGTATGTATAGGAGAAACGGCTTCCAGAGATGGAATCGCCATACGACCAGATCCGACATCACAACACCCTTCCTTCTCTCGCCGACGAACAATCATCCACTGCAGGACTCGACACTCTCTCGAAATAAAGGCTCTCTATCAATCCAGCTCCATTCATCTCATCGAGCGCAATATATACATATAACATGTCGATATCCGATCCATCTACTCAAAAGCCACCTCATCGACGCCTCAACACGCATTTGAAAGACACGTGAGGATACATCACACAAAGAAAACGATAAAATCTATCGATCCATACACCTTCGCGAAGCGAAGTAAAAGCACATCAAGCGAGCAATAGCGGGAACGATACGCGCAAGCGACCATGCCAGATGGCATACCTTAGCAGCAGACCTCCTGATGCGCAGCGCGCTCGCTCGCCAGGTCCGAGTGGCTATCCCGAGGACCCTTGTTTTCTTTTTTCTATATCCCATAAACGAATCAGGAAATAAATCAAGAAATGCAAGACCCGTTTGGGGGGGGAGTGATTGAATGACTAGACTGTACATACCTGTATTCTTAGCGCAAGCAAAAAACAAGACACAAATGGGAAAGCGTGGAATGCATTGCATACTGCGTCAAGTGATATAGGTGTCGTGCCTTAGCTTACTCATAAGCGAGCGAGCCCCTGAGCAGTGCAGCGCAGTTAGCGAAAAGAGCCAGCTTAACATACCTTAATGAAATAAACCGTCCGAGTAATAAAATACATCCTATCCTATCCTATCCTAATCGTGTCCTGGTGCTACATTACAAGAGCAAGAGCGAGAGTACGAACAGCGATCCTAAAAATACTAATACCAACACCAATACCAATACCATTCACTCTACACGTACTCATCCCCAAAATCAAATATATATATTTGCAGCCTACCGCGTTAATTCCTACTATACGGAGAATGAGCAGATAAATAAGTAACTCACTTATCTTAGATATCTATCTATCTATCTTTCCCAGCTTAGTCGGAAATGCAACGCAATGAAATAAAATGAACAAATATATATATATGCAAGTGAAGCCGTGCTATAATCCATTCATCTATCTATCTATCTATAAGAATCCGTCACATGGTTAAGTTGATACCAGATAGAGAGAGAAATGCCAAATAGAAATCGAGGAGTATGGACTGACATGGTCTGCGTATACAGTACAGTATACAGCAAGTCTGAATAGAAAACGAAATAGACGAAGTTTTCACTGTATGACTTCTTTCTACATTTACATCATACCTAGTCTTTTATCTTATGTGCTCTGATGAAAGCTAGGTCTTTCAGGAATCAGGTTTTACCAAAACCTGCACTCATAAAATAAAATAAAATAAAATAAAACGATTCTCTCAATCGATGATTCGATAGGCTGTCTTTCCATAATATATCAAACCGAACCGCAATGCTAAGTTTGAAGTCCAAGCATGTAAATAAATCTCTAAACCATAGTAAGCATATTCCCTACCTCCAGACCAGCTTCCACAACCCTGCGGAGTATAAGATCGTCAAAAGACATGTCTAGTATCTACTCACTCGTAGTCCCTTTTCCGTTCCATTGCGTTTCAAGGGTACTATCAACGCGCACATTTCGCACTCAAACGGAATACAAATCAAAGAAAGCGGCTTAATGGGCGGTGCAGGTAATTAAAGCCAGACTGAGCATTTCTGCACGGCTTCTCGATGGGTGCTTGAAGTTGGGATATTCGTGTTCTGCTTGTGTGGATCGGATATGTTGGAGTTGGAGTTGTGAAGTGAGCTGTTTATGCCGGAGGCGTGACCTAGGTGGGGAAATGTTTGGTGTGATCTTACAACTCTAATATATTCTGCTGCTGTTCTCAGATCGATACACGCCGTGTTTCAACTGCGCTTCGTTTGTTCCTATCCTGCTGCTTCTGGGCAAATATATATATTGCTGCGTATGAATATAATGATGCGGCGCTGCATCGCATTCTATTTCTTGGCTGCTCCTGTAATGGTTCATCGTTGACTTTCCCCTACTCTAAGGGTTTCAAATCCGCTAGTGATGATGAACAGGCCCTTTGGGTCCCTCAGTATCCATCTCCTTTGCTTGCTTGTGGCTCTTTGCGCTCCCTCGTGTAGCGTCGTTGAACTTAGCAGTGGGTAACCGCTGACCTCGAGACGAATTAGCCTCTACAAGCCGGCGAGCAAGCTAATGTAGAATTTCTGAATAAAGGTCGATAATATTGCGGTAATAGACTCAGGCAGCGAATTATAGCTGTCTACTCTAGAAATGAGAGTCTAATTTGTGATGCAAGTTCGTTGTCTGACGCTGTGAAAGGATACCAGCCATAGATATTTCGAAATAGCTCGAGGACTTCCATCTCTTAGGCTCCTGCCTGTTCTTGGCGCGTTTTCTTCTCCTGATGTTGTGCTTTTATTAATGTTGGGTGTTCTAGGGTTTCAATTTGAGCCAACCCTGAAAGGTGTCTGTGTATTATCACCACGTGGCCTGATCCGCAAATCCTCATATTCCATGTCATAATTAGATGTAGCCGCCTTAATATTAGACTCGAAATCTGCGCCTGCTTGAGTAAACCGGGCCTTGTACACTGTATTTGGGAATCCGAGTTCGGATATGTCCTGGTTGATATCATTGTTTCAAGATTATTCAGTTGAATATCGTGGGGTACCTCTCGATCTCCGAAAGGTTCGATACTCTCTTCAACTTGATCCTGAGAAACATGATCGTCCTTGGAAGCAGTCAATCGTTTCGGTATCCGATAACATGTTTTGGGGACTTGAAGGGCCGCGGAAAGTATTTCAAGCCGCAAAGAGGACTAGCACATTAGCAACTTGTTATGACTGGAGTGTAATGTAACATACTAGACATTGGTAACTTTACCGATTTCGCAGGTATCGATTTCGTAGGATGGCTTGCTCGAGCAAGATGACGGAGGGCATGATGATTCCTGCCACCGCCAAAAATATTCTTTATAAACAGTTAAACATTTAAAGGCTTTTTTCATATTAATTGGTCCCGCTCGAAGTGGTCGGTTTCGATAAGAGCTTCCCATCTGTCGTGATTTCCCTTCAAGATTCATAGGTAGTTGCAATAACCATACACCTCATGGGTATACTTCCCAGTTGATAGCGATCCAGTCCCCTTTTCCAATATTACTACAACTCTCACACCCCCCCCCAACCTCCTCAACTCCCCCTGAACCCTCCCCACACACCCCTCAATCTTCGCCCTCTCATTCCCCCCATCTCTTCCTCAACACATACCCCGCCACCACGTCCGGCTCCCTGGACTCGGGCCTCCCAATCCCCTACCCCAATACGCACCCACTTCTGGCCCTTCATATACCTCGCAATATCCTTCAACCCATTATGGCCCTTAGCACTCGCGCCCCCATCCTTGACCTTAACCTCGCCCATGCCCAGCTCCAGCTCATCATGCACAACCACAAGCCCCACCTGCTCCCCACTACCATAGTGTTTCTGAAATGTCCGCCAAGCGGCAGACACCCCGGCCCCGGAGATGTTCATCAAGGACCGCGATTGCCAGAGCGTGTATTCGGGCCCTTGGGACACGAGACCGTTGCCGTAGTCGCGGGATTTCTGGAAGGATGGGTAGGAGAGGGAGGCCGCGAGGGAGGTGAGGACATTGTGGCCTGCTGAATGGAGGGTGTTTGTGTATGGTGCTGGGTTGCCTATTGAGCAAACGAGGAGGCGGAGGGGCGTCGCCATTTCTAGTAATGAATTGGGGATTGAGGTTATTGCTACCTGATCGTCATATTGTGCGGGTGTTGGGGAGTTCTTTCGTTGTTTGCGAGACTTTTTGGTGGAGAGGCTGAGAGATGGGAGATTTGTCGAGAGCGGAATTTCCTCGCTTGACAGGGCCATTTTTTGGTGATCCTTTGCGATCGGCGTGCGGCTGAGAAATGCCCCAAAATTCGTGAGAAATAGAAAGAATAAAAGATGTATAGTTTTAAGAATATGGTCAAAGGAAGATAAAAAACTAGTTTGTCTTATTATAGTTATAATATTCTGTTTAGTGAGTGATTCAGGTGGGCTTTGTCATGCCGTTTCGTACTTTGGTGAAGAGTCATCCGGGCGAAGTGTGGCGCAGGTAGGGCTGTGATATGGGAATCCAAAAAACCCATGCCATCTCTCTCACTTTGGATCACGAGATGAGCTTCAAAACCACTTTCAAGTGAAGCAAAACATATCCATTGCATGTCCTATCACGCCGTACTCCCAACCTGGCCAACCTGGTATACGATTACGTCCGCCCATCCTCAAACCGTGCCACTAATACTCAATTCCCGAATCTCCTGCAAGACATTCTCCACCCTGGTATCCAGATGTCCTTGCGCATATTGCTCTCTTGTATCCGCATCCAAGTACTGCTGCACCTGTGCCATTCTAGAATATGCCTCCGCACAAAAACGTAACTGGATCTTTACCAATGCTTCGAAACTTGGATCGAGGTAGGGAACTCGGAGGTCGATAAGTTGTGGTAATTCGTTGAAGAGTTGCTCGTTCAGTTGCTCGTAGGCTGCCTTGGCCATCTCGGTTTCTTTTTCTGCGCGTGGGAGTTTTGTGACGTCCTTGTCGGGCTTCTCGACGAGCTTCTTGACCTTCGCTCTCATCGCATCGTAATCAAGGAGTTTGTGGTTACGCTTCTTGATGCCTATGACATGTCAGCAGCTGAGGAGAAGGTAGCCCTTATCGTTCTTACACTCGTTGATATCAGGAAAGTATGCACAGAATCGAGAAATGGGTTCGAGGACAGTCGTACTGGATATTGTTAGCTCAGTCTCTTGTACGGATTCAACCACTTACCGATATGGACCATCTAACGCTTTGATTGTTTCCGCATCAAGGTCTTCTACAGCCTGCTTATAGCTCCTACTAACACCATCGCTTGCACCAGCATCACCGTAGAATGCGTCTATTGTCTCCGCGATTCTCATCTGGGAAGCAGTCATGGCTACACAAATCAGCGATCGCTCGGAGGCCGATATCTATTTTACCCACCTCGTAAAGAATCCAAATATCCCTTTGCTTCCTTCTGTAGTCGCACTGAGGCCGCTTCCATAGTTCGGTATCGTCTACGAGCATGTCAGAGCGAGTCGCTGCCAGCTATTCGAATCCCATTTTACCTCTCCTCAACCTCGTAATCTCGGTCATTGGTCTTCTCGACATGGCCTGCAGAGCATTAGAACAGTCCCAGCCCCAGGAAATATCTATTCATACCAGTCTTCATCATAACCTGCGTTGTCGCGCGGTTGACATTCTTCTTGAAGCCTACGTATCGTCAGTGCGTGTTCGGTCATATCTTCAGAGCGCATCGTACCGGCCCACGACATGATGGCGGCTCTGTTGTTCTTTGGGAAGATTGATATTTGTTAAAAGATTTACGACAGCAAGTCGTTGTAAAGCGAGTGTATCGAAAGTGGGTAGTGAAGGTGAATGTCAAGATGGAAGTCGTCGGCCAGTTGGAAGGAGTGACGCTGACGCTGTTTGCTCAGCCACATACTCTAATACCCCGCCACAATTTCAAAATATTTCCTTCACAAGCTTCAAAAATTTAAACACCACACACGACTTCTACAGAACATCATCCAAAATGCCGTCAAGAGCCAATCCCAACGTGCCCAACAAGCAGCGACGAATTGCCAGTCGGGCAAAGGTCCAAAAACGCAACTCCGTCAACAAGATCTCCAAGAATCCTCGAGGTACAGCAAAGAGCAGTGTTCTGCACCCCACGAGCGGACCTCTTGCGCCAGTCTCAGGGAAAAAGGCAAAGAAGTTGGAAAGAGCGCAGAACCAAGCTAGACGGAGAGCGATTGAGAAGGCTATGGAACAAGAAGGAGAGGTTGAGATGACTGGTAAGAGATTTTCACAAGTGATTATAAGTTTTTTCTAATTCGGAATAGATGCACCCAAGACTACGAAGTCGAAAAGCACGAAGGAGACGGATGACAAGATGGAGGTTGATGACATTTCATAATCATTTCAATGCTGGAAATAGGCTGGGAAAATAAGGGTCAATGGCGTACGAAAACGGACTTGCATTTGGCGTTGGAGGTTTTGCTTTGAGGGATACCCGTTGAGCCAGCAAGGCCGTTTTCTCCAATACGATGTTCTACATCCATCCCCGTCTTCTCCCCATGATTCCCACGCCATCAAGTGTGGCCTTGAGTCCCGTGAAATCGATCAAGCCTCCACATCCAGAACTATATCTCATCTCCCTCCCTATGATTCCCACTCAGCAGCGCATCACTTGATAACCCAGAAACCACAGCGCCCATTCCTCGCTCTACAGACGAAAACCCTAGCAATGATTAAACATCCGCACTCTCTCCCCCCTGCTTAACAAGCTTAACGACGCCCGCAATTGTGTTCACCCCCCCCGGCGCCCCCAGCAAAGAAATTATAGAATATGCTAAAGAGGCAAAGCAGTCGCAGCGTACTAGAGAAGCCCCAGAAGAGGAACATCGACACCTCAGCACCAACGCTGCTAAGCAAGATCACAGTAGTGATATGAAACCGATCAAACATCATGCCCATACCAATAGTGCTCACCACTGCCGAAGCGTTAACAAGCGCCACAAGCAGCGTTTTAAATGGCTGAAATCAACCCTAGGGAGCGAGCGAAAGACGCCCATCATATACATTATCCCCTTCAGGCCCCTATAGAGGCTTTAGTCAAGCAAGTTCTTCAGCCATGAGCGGGGTGTAAAAATCGGCACGTGTATGTTTTGTATCATAGGAATTAGGAATACCCATAACCCCCCTTTGAACACTGATCATGCTAAATTAATCTACCCCAGGTTCTTCTATGGCTCCAATCGCTGCTGGCTATGTCGCAGAGAATATGGACTGGAAGTGGTGTTATTATTTCCAGCAATTTTCCTAGGCGCCACTGCAGTTTTCCTGTTCTTCATGGAAGAAACAATGTACGTACGACCGTGAACTATTGCAGACACAGGCTGCTGCCAGGGCAACTGCGCGACGGCTCATCTCCAATTCGCCTCAAACGGTAAAAAGTGAGCCAGTCGCACCTGTGGACGAAAAGTCCGACTCTACTTCTGTTCACAGCTCCGATAGCGAACAATACATCTACCTTCCTCGTTCACGTATAGATAGGTTGAAGACGTTTCGAATCATCCCTGGAAAGTAAGTTCTCCTCTCGTAGCGCTTGATTTCGAGAGACATAGTAACGGGGCTTTCATAGGCAAAATGTCTTATTTCAGAGCTTTATCCGCCGACTAAAGCACATGTGCAGCTTTCCTATCATGTTTTTGTGTGTATTTGAGCATGGTGTACACTTGATGGTATTCTCCGTCATGAGCGGAACCTGGACAACCGTATTTACTCCATATGGCTTTACTTCCGGCATTATCGGTGTCTTCTACATCTGTTCAACTATCGGTGCTTTCATAGCAAACATTTTTCTGCGGTTATGGCGGGGATTGGTTCCATTTGTTTGCAAGGCGAAGGTATAAACAGCCTGGTTTATCCCAGTACTTGATGGCGTTCCTCAGACTAACAGGTTTTAGAAACGGCGGGATCCGCGAGCCGGAATATAGCATTTAGACATATCTATATCAATTCCAATGTCAGTTGCTTTGATTATATTTGGCGTTGGGGGAGAACACCATATTTACATAAGTGAAATTTAGCAAAAGCAGAGCGGAGAACTGACACCATGTAGTGGATAGACCAACGATCCCCACCCTTCCAGCAGTGCTTTAATACATTCCATAACATCCCTCGGACTACTAATACACCAAAGTCAACGAAACAAGAGTATTGAAAAACGGTTGAGGCTGAATCGTCATGCTGAGTAATTTGTGCATGGCGTCTACTCGTAGACTGAGATTATTTCTGCTCGGCCCCTACCGATGTTGGTCTGCCACTGCAACGGTAGTGGTTAACTCATTCAGAGCAGTTTCAAGAACCCTGTCCCTCTAGCTTAGTATCTTTAACCATTTACGGCGAATTCTCCCTCTTCTTCCACGCATGGTAAGTGTGATCATGTTTAAACCCAGCTTATGTCGAGGTTGTCCCGCGCTTCTCCACTTTTCCCCCGGGCCAAGCCTCAAAGTCATCAATCAGCCTCTCAAATGATTTCCAACCTCTCGTTACTTGCCACATATACATCACGGTAGCTAAAGTTTATACAATCCATCATATATTTTGATCATCCCTATAGATGTATGTACGAGATGGCTTGGTGTCTTCCCCGACTATCGGACTTAACAAGAAGCCTCTCGATCGTTTTCAGAGCTGAGAGATACTTGTATACTTGTATTGCTTCAGTCGACAAAATCTACCCGTACTTGTTACAAAAAGCTTTTGGGCAGTAGTACATTCTTCCACTTCCAGTTTACAAGACGAGCTGCTCTACTAGAGCTAGCCTCTTACTATCTGGTCTCTGGGACGTGCATTGTAGAATGATCAACCCGAAGAATGGATCCAATCTAGCTTTTATAGGAATCTGGCTAACTGTTGATCTAGATATAGAAGTTTAGCTTGCTTGTATAAATACAATTTAATGGTCATGTATTCACATTTTCTCTTATCGTCCATATTTAACACGACTACTGGGTGGTCAAGCTGGACATGATTACGGCTTGTTCTGTGTCAGGTAGGTGGTGCCGCGGTGGGACGTTAAATCAAACCAAGCGGTGCAAATCTCGAGTGAATACAACACTGTCACAAGCGTTGATCTTCTGCAGATGCCTTCCTTTCCCTTAAATTCGTTTGTTCCTTTCCTCGATCCCAACTTATTCACGCACACCTGGATTTTTGAACGCAATGATTTCTCGCTTTCGTGGCCAGAAGGAGCCCAAGGTAGGCATTACCGAAGAAGCTTCCTCTGTTGACGGTGGTACGCGCATTGGCAGCACGACATCTGATGCTCCTGACGTTGAGATCGAAGCCGTTGCGAATGCCCATCTCAAGACGTTCAACAAGCTCCACGAGTTCGATCCCAATCTACCAGAAGATCTGCGACTGGCCGCCAACGCAGCTGCAGAGAACCATGATCTAAAGGACGAGCTTAAGCTCGAGCAGGAGGTCAGCGACAACTCTCCATATCCCGAGGTTCGAGCTGCGGTGCGCAATTATGATGAAGGTGGTCCAGCAAACACTGTTCGCGCATGGGTGATAGGCATGGTGTTGGTAACAATCGCTTCTGGTCTCAACCAACTCTTCTTCCTGAGATACCCAAATTTCGCTCTCAGCTCTCTCATCTGTCAATTGGTCGCCTATCCAATCGGATGCGCCTGGGCGAGATGGTTGCCCGAATGGGAATTCAATTGGTTTGGATTAAGATGGAAATTAAACCCCGGTCCGTTCAACATGAAAGAGCATACAGTAATCACAGTTATGGCAAACTGCTCTTTGAGCGGTCCTGTTGCCTACTCTGTCGATACTATTATTGCTCTGAAGGGGTTCTACAAGAAAGATTTAGGCTGGGGCTTTAACCTTCTTCTCACGGTTTCCAACCAGGTCATCGGCTATGGACTTGCTGGTGTTTGTCGTCGATTCCTCGTTTGGCCTGCTGCCATGATCTGGCCTACGAATCTTGTGAGCACGTCTATCTTCTACGCCTTACACGATCACCGGAAATCCGACCCTGAGAAGACCAGTGGCTGGAGCATTGGCCGATATCGCTACTTCCTCTACGTCGTTCTAGGGTCTTTTGGCTGGCACTGGTTCCCAGAGCTTATCGCTCCATTTCTCAGTGTGTTTGCATTCGTGACTTGGATCAAACCAAACAGCCCAGTCATCAACCAACTCTTCGGCGGCTCATCAGGACTCTCTTTGATTCCAATTACTTTCGACTGGAACATTGTCACTCAATTCATTCAGAGCCCACTGCAATACCCGGTTTTTGCAATGGTAAATGTCGCCATAAGCATGATTCTCTTCTTCTGGATCATCACCCCTGCGTTGCATTTCTCCGGGACTTATTATGGCGAATACCTCCCTATCCTGGATAACACCATTCGCGACAATACGGGGAAAGCCTACAACGTCACCAAAGTCCTGACACCGGATCTTCGATTTGACGCTGCGGCCTACAAAGAGTATTCTCCTCTTTTCATGTCTCAAGGAAATATATGGTTCTATTCCATGTCATTTGCAGCAATTTCTGGGGTTCTAGTCCATACTGCTTTATACGAACGCAAAGCTATTTGGGCGAGATTCAAGGATGCTCGTGTTGAGGATGAGGATATACACAGAAGACTTATGCGCAAATACAAGGAAGTACCTGAGTGGTAAGTGCATATCTTCCTGCATGAACCAAGATGGAAACCTAACAAGAACTTTTCACCTAGGTGGTACATAGCGATCTTCGTTGTAATGTTTGCAGTTTCTATCGTGGTTGTACAGGGTGAGTCGGCTTTCCTTTAGATTGAAGTCAAATACTAACCTCATTATAGTATGGGACACAGGGCTGCCCGTCTGGGCACTGATCCTTGCCTACACGCTGCCAATCATATTCATGGTTCCCATTGGCATTGTCCAAGCCGTCACAAACTTCCAGATCGGACTGAACATCATTACTGAACTGATTGTCGGTTTCATGCTCCCAGGTCGTCCCATCGCAATGATGCTATTCAAAGCTTACGGGTACTTACTCCTCCCCCTCCCCCTCCCTCTCTTTACAAATCCCTCGCCTCGTCTCCCCCCTCCCGCAAACCAATTCCTAACACTCCATCCCCCAAATACAGCTACGCTCCCATGTATCAAGGATTACTATTTACGGGAGATCTAAAATTGGGCCACTACATGAAGGTGCCACCCCGCACTCTGATGGCCGCACAAGGTGTAGCTACTTTCTGGGCGGCAATAGTTAACGTCGCTGTCTTGGAATGGGCCTTTAGCGCCATCAAAAACATCTGCGATCCTGGAAATACCAACAGTTACATCTGCCCTGTCGGCCGCAGCGCCTTCAACTCCTCCGTCATCTTCGGCGTCATCGGGCCCCAACGTCTTTTCGGCATGAACGGTCTCTACAAGAACTTCCTCTGGATGTTCCTTGTTGGCGCCCTCACACCTTGCCTCTTCTACACCCTCACCCGCATGTTCCCCAAGAGCAAAGTGCGCTATCTCTCTACACCTCTCATCTTCGGTGGCGTCCTTTTCATTCCCCCAGCGACACCTTTGACCTATATGTCGTGGGTCATCGTTGGCTTAACATTCAACTATTTCATACGCCGCAAGTACACCGGATGGTGGAACCAATACAACTACCTCACTTCCGGCGGCTTGGATCTCGGTCTTGCGCTCTGCTTGGTTGTTATGTTCTTCGCGGTGTCGCTCCCCCAGAAAGCTTTCCCGGATTGGTGGGGTACAACGGTTGTAGCCAATACTCTTGATAGTTTGGATGCTGCTGTTCAGACGAAGCTTCCAAAAGGACAGACTTTTGGTCCGCCGAAGGGGAGTTGGTCGTAAATGTTGGATGGTGGTTTAGGAAGGGTGGTAATGATTGCGGAATCGATTGGAAGGGGTGGGGAGGAGTACCTTAGACGTAACAATATTCTAGGCTTTTAGGATGAATTAATAATGATGCCTAGTATCTAGGCCATATCTTCGAGAGCCATCGCATCTTTCAAGTTCTTCTACTTGCAAACCATGTCCCTCGACTATGCACCCCCGTAGGCGCGCTGGCCTTCTTTTACCTCCACTTAGATAGAGTCTCTTTTTTAACCTCTTTTACTCCGACCTATATATAAACACGTCAGCTGGCAATGGCATGGTCAACCCCGCGGAGGACAAGCTTATATTAGTGCTGCATTTTCCACTGTATCCACCGCGAGCCGATCCGAGATTCCGTTTCAAGGGTCAGCAGAGCAATGAGCAAGATCTTCGCAAGAAGGCGTCTAGATGCAAGCACACCATATTTCGAGATTTTTAAGATGATGCTGAGAAGGTGAGGACACAAGGAAAACATCTGCTGGTGGAAAATTCAGGGGTAAGATTAGGATCTGGGCTTTGATCTCGGCAATCGGCTGGCTAAATTTACATGAAATTCAGGCTCATTCTCCCCGCGACAACATCCTTCCAACCAACTTATCCAGGTACCAAAGCTGTGCTGGGTCTGGTTATTTTATCAATCAATTAAAAGCACTACTACCATCATGCGCCCCCCTCCCCAAGCGTACCGTAATCAATCTCAGATATACAAAGTACTTACCGTTTGTTGTTGTGGCGCCACGGTCGAAACGGACCGTCGTCTCGTGAAGTGGCGTGGTCTTCCGCGCCTGAACCTCTGGGAATGGAGAATAGTATCCCCGCCTGCACCCCGGAACATGGCTGAAGGACGGTTTGTGGGGTACCGTCTATATTGCCTTCAATCTATTGTAGAATTGTCTCAATGAGGCCCCGCCAGGTACCACACGTCATGTAGTCTCATGTCTTATTTGTGTCTATGGGTTGCGGGGTGGAGAATTTCCTGATCTAGCTTATATACTTTCATGTTTCCAGCTTTAAGTTTTGATAGTTTTCTGCAAACTAGTTTTGCATCGTCTCATTCCATTAGTACTGGAACAATATTGCTATGTTTTTTCTGAATCACCTGGCCCTCGTGGCTGCGAGTCTGTTGGCTGGTTCTGTCAATGCATATACATCCCAAACGTTTACGTGGAAGAATGTCAGGATTGGAGGTATGCATGATTCCGTGTTTGACGAATGTTTACCCTTTGAGAATATCTAATGATATACTTTCAGGCGGTGGAGGATTCGTCCCTGGAATTGTATTCAACCCAACTACAAAAGGTCTTGCGTACGCACGAACAGACATCGGAGGCGCGTATCGTCTGAATGCAGATGATACCTGGACTCCGCTAACTGATTTCGCAAATAACACGAACTGGTGAGTCTCATACTATTCATTGACCGACAAAGGAGGTTGAGCTGAATCTTAAACCGAATAGGCACGATTGGGGGATTGACGCTCTCGCCACGGACCCAGTTGAGACGAATCGTCTTTATCTCGCTGTGGGCATGTATACGATTGACTGGGATCCAAACGTAGGGTCTATCTTGCGCTCTACCGATCAAGGAGCTACGTTCTCTGAGACTAAACTGCCGTTCAAAGTCGGTGGTAATATGCCAGGTCGTGGAGTCGGTGAAGTATTAATCACTTGAAGCAGCATTGTCTTAGTAAGAGAACTGACGATCTGTAGCGTCTTTCGGTTGATCCTAATGAGAACAGTATTCTTTATTTTGGTGCGAGAAGTGGCAATGGGTTGTGGAAGAGTACGGATTATGGTGTCACGTGGGCGAAAGTTACATCTTTCACATGGCCGGGTAAGTATTTTATTTGGAAGGCGGCGAATCGTGCTGACTGTGAGCAGGGACTTATGTCCAGGATGCGAGTTCAGAGTATACTGCGGACCCGGTAGGCATTGCTTGGGTTACGTTTGATTCTACATCTGGAACAAAGGGGACGGCCACTCCGAGAATATTCGTTGGTGAGCTGGTGATCAATCGTTAGATATCTATTTATTGCTAATTGATGTAGGCGTTGTTGATGTCGGCGAATCGGTGTTCAAGTCTGAAGACGGCGGATCTACTTGGGCCTGGGTATCTGGCGAACCGCAATTAGGATTCCTTCCACACAAAGGTGTTCTATCCCCCGCGGAGAAAACACTATACATCTCATACGCCAATGGTGCGGGCCCGTATGATGGAACTAATGGGACGCTTCACAAATACAACATTTCGACGGGAGTCTGGACTGATATTAGCCCCACTTCTCTGGCTTCCACGAATTATGGTTATGGTGGACTGAGTGTTGACTTGCAAAAGCCCGGAACACTTATGGTCGCTGCGCTGAATGATTGGTGGCCAGATGAACTTATTTTCAGAAGCAATGACTCAGGTGCTACCTGGTCTCCGATTTGGTATTTTCTCCTTCCCCTCCGGCTGATTTACATATAACTAATTTTTATAACAGGGCTTGGACAAGCTATCCCAACCAGGATCTGTAAGTTTTGTTTTCGATTTTGACAGATACTATCCTCTAACAGGTTCAAGTTACTACAGTTATGATGTTTCCGCGGCACCTTGGCTTTTTGATACCACTTCCACAGACCAATTCATCAAAAGAGTAGGCTGGATGGTAGAAGCTTTGTCGATTGATCCATTTGATTCAAACCATTGGTGAGTTCTGCTCCATCTGTCAAGTCTCTTGCGAATGCTTACTAGGGAAGGCTTTACGGCACCGGCGCAACAATCTATGGAGGGCATGATCTTCTAAAGTGGGATACAGTCCACAATGTAACCCTGAAGTCGTTAGCAACCGGTATTGAGGAAACAGCAGCCCTAGCTCTTTTGACTCCTCCCGGGGGGCCGCCCTTATTATCAGCCGTTGGAGACATTGGCGGCTTCTACCACAGCTCGCTCGACACAGCTCCTACCCAAGCCTTCCACAACCCAACATACGGCACCACTCGAGATCTCGACTACGCCGGGAACACACCTGCAGATATCGTTCGTTCTGGCGACAGCGATACTGATATTAAAATTGCGCTGTCGTCTGACTTTGGCGCTACATGGAGTGCTGATTATGGCGCTTCAACAACCACTGGCTCGGGAAAGGTTGCTTACTCAGCTGATGGTGATACGGTGTTGCTCATGTCTGGTACGAATGGAACGCTCGTGTCGCAGTATACGGGTACCTTTACTGCTGTATCGACACTTCCGTCTGGAGCTGCTATTGCTTCTGATAAGAGGAATAATACTGTGTTCTACGGTGGTTCTGCTGGCAGGTAAGATAGCTTCCTAGCAATAATTGGGGGAGAAACTCTTACAGGATATCTAGTATCTACGTATCTACGGATACTGCAAAGACTTTTGCGAAAACGGTCGCCCTGGGCTCCTCAACGGCGGTCAATCAGATTCGCGTCAACCCGACAGTAGCAGGCGACGTCTGGGCCTCGACCGACACGGGATTATTCCACTCTCTCGATTACGGAAAGACGTTTACTCAGATTTCCACCTCCACCGGACCAACGGTTGGCTACAGCTTCGGTAAGTCCATCCAGTTTCTCTGTCCCAACACTTACTCACAGTATCTCTAGCATTGGGCGCTGGTTCCACAACCTCAGCTTACCCCGTCCTCTACGGCTTCTTCACCATCTCGGGAACAACGAGCCTCTTCAAGAGCGAGGATACAGGTGCTACTTGGGCCATAATCAGTGATGCGGCGCACGGGTTTGGAGCTGCGAGTTCGAATGTTGTGGGTGCTGATATAAGTACTTATGGACGTGTTTTTGCGGGGACGAATGGGAGGGGCATATTCTACGGCTCGCCTTCGTGAACAATAGTACTCGTACTGTAAGTGTGGCAATAGGACATAGGTAGTCAGGCCTCGGCAATTCTACCAAGAACTTGGAACCCCGAAAACGTTTCCCTTGCCGCTGCTGCACTCACTCCACATATGATATACGTGAAAATTATTCAAATCGGCGGGTCTACCCTCATTTGAGTCCTCGCGATAGTTTTGTCGCACTTCGCATCTCATATGACTCGCGTTGGAGCAGAAGCGTTACACATTGCCAGGGTGGGTCACATCGCCCACGATCCTTCTGGGCCCTTGCATGAACCCTCAAAGGGGTAACGTTACACATTATCTACACACATGCAGAAATCCGCGATAGTAGAACGAGTACTTTCATTGATTTATTTATCCATAATTAAAAACTAAACTTCCTGACCCCCTCCACACTCACGCCACCCAAATCATTCCATTCAGCTGATCTGGTAAACCTTGACAGAGTTGATCTCCCAATAAGCCTGCTGGAAAGCGCTGGGGTTGGCACCCACGTAGGTGTCACAGGATCCATATTGCGAACAGCTGCCGCTGTCGAATACACTGCCCGCCCAATCACCGCAGAACGTGGTATCGAAGACGATGTTCTCGCTCTGGAAGCTGCTGTCGATGTCGCACCCGCTGCCGCCGTTGAATGCTACGACCGGTGTTCCCCAGTTGGCTGTCACTGGGCTTCCGCTGGAGATGTCGGCGGGGATGCTGCCGCGTGCGAAGAACCACTGAGGGGGTGTTAGTATTTTGTTCTGCGAGAGAGAGAGAGAGAGAGAGAGAGAGAGAAGGTAGGCACATTGTGCAACTTACAATGTAGATGCCGGAGCTCTCCCACTGCATAGCGTACACGCCGCCACCATTACTGTTGAAGCTCGTGCCGTAGGCATTTGCAGTTGTCGTAGTGGCACCGCAGCCATCGTGGCCGCTATTGGCATTGCAGTTTGTTTGCAGGAGCGTCGTGCCGCTCTGCGAACCAGCCGTGTTGATAGTGCAGCCCGGTCCGGTGTGAAGTGTGATTTGGTCAGTACCGGCGAGGTTGACGCCTTCCAGGACGTCGATCTCGCCGTTGTTAGGCCAGTTACCGCCTACGAGCCAGAATGCGGGCCAGACGCCACAGATGGACCCGGGCATATGGGCGATGTCGGCGATGAAGAGACCATGCGTATAGGCTTTGTTGCTAGTGACGCGAACGGAGTTGCGGCCGGGGGCTGCGGGGTTCAGGGTGGTGTGATCGACGCCCATGTAGACTTGGTTGTTGTTGGTATTGATAAGGCCTTGGCTTTGGGCTGCGCTTTGGGATTGGTAGTTGACCCAGCCACTGGTTGGGTCAGTGTCGGTGAAACTACAACGAGTTAGTATTTTGATTCTTGTGAGGAGGAAGAGTTGAGAAGATAGAACACTCTTCGGAATCCAAACACCGCAAAATCAAGGAGGGGAAACAAAAAAAAGGGGTAAGTTACAAGGTGAAGGAGTTGAAGAAGTTGCTAGTGTCGTAAGTGTCGACGATACTATAGGTAGCTTCTGCGTTGACCCAAAAAGTTTCGTTTCCGTGGGCTGCGATAGAGGCAGGGTCGGCGCCCACAGGGGATGCATTTATAGCTTTGAGGTAGCTGAGGAGGCTGATGCCGAAGAGTGTTGACTTGAATCCCATGATGGCGAAATATGTCCAAATAAATACTATGTACAGATATATAGAGAGGACCTAGCAAATATAAAATGCAGAATATATACAGAGAGAAAGTGAAAAGGGGTAAAGGTCGAAGTGATTCTGAATGATAATACAAGCAGGAAATTTCAAATATACTCGAGTGACCTACTCATTATATATTCATCAAGAGCTTGCCTCGGAGTGAACCAAGACAGCTTCAAAAGCTAAGATGATAAGCTTGACGAGAGAAGGAAACTGCTTTAGCCTTCTAGGGAACTTGAGCCGTGGGAAAGAAGTTCGATCTTTGGTTTGAGGTGGGAAAAGACTGGATTGTAGAGAGAATCCGCTAGGTAGACTGGTCTCAAAGCTTGAAGAGATACACAATATGACCAACGCGAGGCAGTAACGTGGCATCGTCATGTTTCCCTGATGTAAAGAACGAATCATTTGACAGCAGGCTAAGCAAGTAAAAGAGACAATCCTGGATAAAGATTAGAAGTTATCCATTTAAACATGCGAACAAGCAAAAAGGGGGGTCCTTCTACAGCCTCGAGGAGAGGTTACACGCTTGTAAAAGTATAGATCGGCACATAAGGTTAAGGAACAGGAAGGTGATCTTCGGTCACAGACCCGGCATCGATCGGACGAAGTACTAGAAGGAGATGTTTGCAGTAGCGGCACAAGGCGCTTGATCCAAAGGATTTGGAGGCTGGCTTGTTCGTGGGGATGTGTGGAGTATGTATTGCAGCAGATTCGTGCATCGGATACCGGTCATTAGGTAGAGATTTGGCATAATTTTCGATGGACGAATAGGAGGTCTGGTAACCCTGCCAAGCATTGATTGTCAGGGGATCACGCTCATCTCCCGCACCAAAGGATTTACGTACGGACGTACAAGTAAACCAACGTGATCGTGGTAGCACTGCACTGGACTCATTATAGGGCCGAGTAACGACCGGATAGGCTCTTCCTGAGTCTCGGGGCGAAGGGGCGAAGTTGCAATGATTGTGCTGATAGGTCACGAGTTTATATAAACGTGGCGAGTGGCTTACCTAGGATGGATTAAGTCTAGAGAATGACTTTAGATTCTGGGCGAGACTTGAGGCGCAAGGATTCATCATTGGTTCATCCCAAGTACTACGAATCTCAAAGCTTAATATTCCTGGTAGGCGCAGTATCTGGGAAGATTCAGGTTCAGGGAGCGTTACCAGGTAACTACTACCTACGTAATTCGTACTCGTAAAGTCTCCTATTATGCAAGCTAGTATAAGGTTTTGCTTGCAGTTTATTGTCATCAACTTAATAAGCAAAGCAGTATTACTTTTTGTACCTTTAATACCATAAAAACTAATAGTTTTTATTCATCTTAATAGGAGTCTAGGACGGATTCGCGATGAACTATCAGCGCTCCAGTTACTACGATACTGCATCCCTTTAATCTCTTTTATACTGCATTTTGCTTGGTTGGTTGTTCTATTGAGTTCAGTTTCGCAAGCATCGAGTACTCCGTACTTTGCACCTTCCTTTTATGTCATGGTAGGCGCAGTACAAATGTCCTTGAAAGCATTATTCAGCGCACGGCGAGGTAATTCCCTAAAAATCGTTCGACGTGTTCACCTTTCGTCAACTCGTGTCATCTTTCTGGAAATAGAAACTGGTATCTTGGCAATATCTATCTGTCTAGACTTGTACGAAGTACTTCGTACAGACTGGACTGCGTGCTGCACTAAGAGTTAAGCAAAGAACCTCAGGCATATAATAATCAATGGAGTAAGCACAATAAACAGATGGCTATATGGGCAGACAAACATTCTAGCTTGAATCTTCTAAACTCATCTCAAATCTCTTGTTACGCTATGTGGAGAGACGCTAGTCTCGATAAGTGATGGGTCTGCATTTTGAGGTTATTCCCACTTCTACTTTCGATACTCTTAGTATTTTCTCTTGTAGTTGACTTAGTCAATAGACTTGTCTATTAATGCTCTACCACTCCTCGATCCCTTCCCGCTCCATGTTAACTATGCATAAGCTTTGTCAGAATCCCGCTGCTGACTCATCTTGACACGTAGGTGTTGCGGTGAACCCAATTCAGCAAGAATATAAGTTGGGAGAATATTAGCCCATGTCAAAGATTCAGCGAGGCAGACTTCGTCACGTACATCGATAACTTTTCAGGCCGAAAGCTTCAAGCATCTAGATACTACTTCACCATCTAAACGACATAACACTTGCGTCAAGCCGGCATTCTTGCATGACCATGACGGCCGAACAACCCCCGGTCACGGATCTCGCTTCACTTCTCGCAACCCCTATTTTCACCCCCATCCCAGAAGCTTCGTTCAGCTCCGTCCTCAACTCATCACCATTCATACCAATCCCTCAGGCCCTCAACCTCCGCACAATCTCATCTCCAAACCTCCCTCCAAACACCATTTTTCGCTCTGGGACGCTTTCCCACTTACCGGCTGCAAGTCTCGCAACGCTCAAAGATAAGTACAACATCACCACTATCTTTGACCTTCGTGGATCACACGAGACAGCGCGCTCGCCAAGTGTGAAAATCGAGGGGATAGAGACGATCTGGATCGCGACTGATCGAGATTTTCTATTCCAGGGCGATGGAGAAAATACACCCGGCGCTGAGGAAGATGAGTTCGGCAAGCCTGCGCATCGGGACCATGTAAAGCCAATCGAGTTTACGACCAATGAAGGAGAAGATGGATATGTAAAGCTATACACGAATTTCCTGCATACGCACAAGGAGCCGTACAAGGCAGTATTTGAACGGCTGAGAGATGACCGTGGAGGAATACTGATCCATTGCACTGGTCCGTAGCATCTCAACTTCTAACCAATTTCCTACTTTTTAGTATTCTGAGAGTACAGTAATACGAAGGTGTTTGAACTAACTGAACAACTGCAACTAAAAGCTGGCAAAGATCGCACGGGCATCCTCGCAGCTCTCATACTAGCTCTCGTGGACGCGCCAGCGGAGGAAATCGCTACAGATTACGCTCTAACCCGCATCGGCATCGAGCCGTTCCGGGAATACCTCCTCGCGGCTCTGCTGAAGCAGATGGGGAAGACTGAGAGCATTGAGGCATTTGAAGATCCTGGGATGGCGGAGCTGTGTGGTGTTAGAGGACGCACAATTCTCGCGGTTTTGGAATGGATGGGCAGGAAATGGGGAAGTGGGGGGGAGGGTAAGTATCCGGGCGTTGAGGGTTATTTGATTCGGGAGTTGGGGCTTGAGGTTGCGGATGTTGAGAAGATCAGAAGGAATCTTGCTGCTGGAGGGGTATAGATTCAATGAATACCATTGTTTATTTGAAATAAAGGTCGCAAGTAGACATGGAAACTTTATTGAGATTTGTTGAAAGCAAAGCTGGGGAACTGGACGCCCGGGTACTACCGAGAGCCTCTACGGGTGTTTATTCTACCTATAGCATATAGTAAGAATGAAACAGCTTAATTACCAGTCTTGCCAGATGTATCACCTGGCAGGCTGGCACATAAAAGTTCTAAGTGGCCAGCATGGGCCCCTCTTTTTATTTTTGAGGCCTTGAAGGAATGGAAACTGGTATTATTATTCTCCTCACTTGAGGAGAACAACTAAGTAGCTAGCTGCTAGTAGCAAAGCTTTCCCGCAATCATGGCTCACTATTCAGTACATGGCGATACATTTGAATTTGATGCGAGAATGAGTGGATCGCATTGTTTTGAAAGAATATATGGCGCCATCTACATCTCAGAGCAGTGACAGATAATGTACAGGTCTGGCTCCAAAAGCTATATCTATATATACACACAAAAAAGATTCCTTTCTACCCGATCCTACCCTTTTGACGAACTCCATGTTACGCCTAGCCTGAGCCCCTTTTCATGTTTTCATATTGTGCTTTGCTTAAATCTTTTGATGAAACGCACTCCTGGCAATCTTGCTCCGCAACCTCTTTCCAAAAATATACATTGGGAGAGACGCTGCGCTCACAGCCAGATTCGCAATCGCCACAATCAAGAACACGCTCTTGGGACCGCTTGTCTCAAACCATCCATTGACAAAGTTACTCATGACTAGCGACAGCAGTGCCTTGACGAAGTTCATGGTGACGAATGCCTGCGCAGCATGGTTATTATGGCAATCCATAACGTACGTGAACATGGAGCTTGTAGCGAATGGGACGGCGAAGGTTTGCACGCCGAGAAAGGCGATGGGGATGTAGATGGGGGCGCCGGCCGCGACGCTGAATCCAAAACCGACGTAAGCGGTGGTGGACAGAGTCGCGGCGACGAACATGAGGACGAGGCGGAATTCAGGCTCGTAGATGCCGTTGTTCAGCCTGGTCATGAGTTGGACGACGAAATCGGCGCAGTATCCTGCGGTGAGGGTGCCGACGAGACCAACAGCGAAGAGCGGGAGGTTGGTGAGGCCGATGGCGGAAGAGGAGAGGTTGTAAGGGGCTGCGGAGAAAATGGTGTCTTGGAGTAGGGCGATGAGAGTGAGACCAGCGGCGTAGAATGAATATGTGAAAGCGGCGTATATGACAACGGGGAATGTGATGAGGGGGAGCGGCTTGAAGGACATGCGCCAGAAGCCTGCTTTAGAGACGCGGCCTTGAAAGATGGTGAGACGCTGGCGGTAGGTTTTCGGTGGATCTGGAAGCACAATCTCGTATACGCGTAGAGAAGACTTGTCGAAGATGACTTCGGTTTCGCGGTCTTTGTCGAAGAAGACGGTCTCGGGGACGAAGAAATACATGGCGGGGAGAATGCCTGCGTAGAGAAGGCCGCATATTCCGAATGTGAATTTGAAGCCTAAGTTTTGGATGATGAACCCAGCAATGAGTTGTCTAGTCTGCATTAGTATTGGGAATATTATAGGGGAATTGCCCCAGCTTACCCGAGTTTGACACCTCCCATGACAAACAAGTTCCAAATACTCAACATCTTCCCTTTCTCGTGGACGAAGAATATCTCGGATACTGTGGCGCTGATGAGAGTTTCAAAAGGGGCAGCAGCGAAACCTTGAACTACTCTCATGATAGTTAATGAAATAAAGCTCTGTGATGAATTAGATGAGTAAACTTTAATTGGGCATTCAAGACCTACAGCGGCGAAGAATCCCCAAGCACTAGTTCCTAACAAAGCAATCGTAGCAATGATGAAGACTGGTCGTTTGCCCCATACTACAGCCGCTGCTGCCGTAAAGAATGTTCCGGCACCAGTCGTAAGTTGTAAGAGTCCGACGATGCTGAACGATATCTGATCTGCGGAAACATGGAAAGTGGAAGCAATCTCATCGAAGCCGGTAGTGATCATAGGACCAAGTGAGACGGTAACACCAGCTGTCAAGGAAAGTATCATGAGGATAGTGATTTTTGTCCCCATCGACCAGTTGAGAGGATCATTGGGCGAGTCTGACGGCTGTGGTTGGAGGACAATATCCCCTCTCTTCTTTGGCTCCTCATATTCCCAGTCCTCGAGCTTAGACGCATCGACTTTCTCATTGAGGTTGACTGTCCCCGGGATATTGGGGTATCTCTTATCTTCTAGTACTCCCCAACCCATCTTCGCGCACACTCAGTAACAAATGAAAGAAGCCGTTTAATAACCCCAGAACCCCCAACTCATCCCTTCCCCAAAGAATCGAAAACTAAAAGTTACGGAAGTCGAAGTGAAATCTTATACGGATTCGCCAGCGACAGGCCGCAAAGAGTGAGTGTATTCAAAGGAATAGCAAGAACGAACGGAAAATCAGATGTTTTGGGACCCCCATACTGGCTGGAGCATGATAGTACTTAACAGCCCAGAAAAGTGGAAACATAGGTGCATCTGATAAAGGGCCACTCACTCAAGGAGAAGTTGGTATGGATGATAGTGGAGAGTTTCACTTGCCAGTACGCAGCTCACAGAACACTTACGGCGGAGCCGCGTTTCCATATCTCGCTGGCGCTCTACACACTGTCCACCAAACGAGCCATAGAGATTGTCCGTAGGGCATTCTCAGCCTGCTCGCCGTCCGAAGGACCTAGACCCACAAGCTATTCTAGGAGAGTTACGAAGATGGGCTTAGGCAAAAGTGGCAGTGGGATCACAGTCGATCATTGATGCGATGGCGATTCAACAATGCAAGTTTTGGATTCACAGATCCAGCAAGTCGAACAATTTGCGTCCTTGTAATAGCAACTGGTGACGAATCTTGAAGTCTCACCATCACCGGTCATAGGCCAAATGTGGCTGCTCCACTCGGAGAATTCTCTTGGCAGCAAGGTTGAGGCTCGAAAGTTAAGACGGCTGCGTGGGGGGGCCTGGGGGGGGGGGCGCCTGGTAATAATCGCCAACATAAGTTATTCCCTGCAGGAGGATAACGACATCCAAAACAAGAGCCTGCACGGGCTCTTATTTGCTTCAGATAAGCCGTTTCGAGGCAGGTTTTTGCGGCAACGATATCCGATGCTCTGGTACTGATCTGATGTCGTCCAATGAGACTGTCTGGCTTATTACTGAAGTGCTTCGTAGATGCAACGAGCAGGAGCCGACAGGAAGTACTACCGGAAGCCCTATTTACTCCACTATTTATTTGCATGCGGCCCGCACCCGCGCCTACTTCGTACCTGCTGGGGCGTTGAGAAGCACTTGCATCGCCAGACGTCAAACATCAGTCACTATCCAATTTGATTTTGCCAAGGAGCCACTCTACTTGTCACAATGGGATGGGGCTCATGTCTCGCCTGAGATAAATTAAAGGACGAATGTGTACTGTAATAGCAAGAAGATTCTAATGATAAGATGGCATTTCAGAAATACAAACAGCATAAAGAAACAACGCTCAGCCATAAACACGCGGACACCACAGGCAGGCGCAGTGTTTTTTTTTTTATTGAATATCGACTTTGGCGATGCGAGTATCTTGTATAGGACTTCGTCATCTCGTGAAGCTATTCAAAGCTGCATACGTGGTAATTTCAATTGCCAAGTGGATGTGGGCCAACAGGGAGCTTGTTTTGCTCATCGGGGTTGTTTCAGGCTAGAAGGGGGTTTCAGGACGAGCATCGCCCCGCTGAAAGACGTCAGACCCGTTATTATCTAACGCCCCCCTCGATACTATCAAGGGGTCGTTAGACATATCAACAGAACAAAAATATTTACTTACAAGTGGACATTGGCTCTGGAAGTTTGTGAGTGATGGTGCCGTTACTGCCGATAGGGTGGCTACGGAGGTACTGTATATCTAATTCATTAAGGGCAGGAGGTCTTTGAAACTTGAAAATGAGAGTTATGCGACACATTCGTTGAATGTATAAGGAAGCTGGGCAAATGAAGATTGACTTCATTCAGGTAATATACATAGGGGCAGCAGCCTGAGATTAGGTAGAAATGCCTAACTTACCCGTCAAGCCCTGACAGGACCCCTCTCGAGATCCAACTCGGGCAAACTATGCGTTGCCCATCAAAGTCTACTCTCTATCGTCTGACAATGCATTATACAATTCGATCAAGCACCGTTGCTTGTTGGGAAGCAACTGAGGCCGATTCAATATTCCAACGGATGTTTGGTTCGTGGTTTAGAACCTCTAAGACATGTATCCTGAAGTGGACTAGACTGCTGAAGCTGGACGTCCTCGCCCCGAATTATGGCTTGATTAGAAGCTGTCATCAAGACACCTCTTTCTAAGGATTTATCCAAAGTATTGTAAAGATCCTGGCGATCAAAATGTGACCTCATCGCATTGGGGTTGCACCGAAGCCCAATCGTTGATTCTGGTTTTGTGCCATCCACTCTGCCAAATTCCTCCTTTATCCTCCTCTTTCTTGAAACCAAGTCGAATGACCGTTCCAATGTAACAAGTCTCATCGTGGTGCGTATATTGGAGACAATTCTCGTCGGCCTCACAAGCTTCGATACAATCCTGAAATGATTTCGGTTCCAGAGACAATCCCTGGTACTTATCAAATTCATACCGATCACTCGCGAAAGTGCCGTCCCAGTTTGCGCGATAGGATCCATCTGGCATTGACTTCATGGTGAAGTCCCTGAAAATATCTGCGTGGGTCCAAGGCTCCTACATATAATGGTAAGTTCAACTAATTCTTTATTGTATCAGTATAACACGTACCGATTTGCTCATGTTCAACCGGTTATCCTCGAAACCAGCAATTTCTTTCATCTCTGCGGGATTAAGATGATGGAATGTTATCGCTGGGCGACACCAGAAATTCTCATTCCCCAAAGGCACTGTTGACCACCTCTCCTGAGAAAACATGGGAAAAGCTTGTTGCAACTCCACTCCGTAATCTTCTTTCAACGCAACTGCGAGCACAAAATCACCACAGCAGTATTTTTCCATCTTGGGATCCCAGCGCGCAGCGGTGTTATTATTGATGAGCCTGGAAGGAGGACTGGTTAGCTCTTGCCCTATTTTGATTAATTTTGACAGCAGAACCAAAGCAAATTCTCAATTTTCCGTGCAGTACTACAGCACACAATAAAAATCACGCTTTGTCACTTACGTTTCCATCGCAGCTCTCGACAGCACAATCCCAGCACCTCCATGCGCAAACCAGTGTTCATCCATCCATAATCCACAACCAATATACAATTTCTGCATCGGATCGAGAGTTTCCAAGTAGCCGAGCAGAGTTGGCCATACAACGTAGGTGTCCGAGTCGATCATCAAATACCAGTCCATATCCGGCTTCGCCGCCCACGTCTTCTCCAACACATGGAAAAACTTATATTTGTCCAGCTGCCACGCGGCAAGATCTGTATTGTAATGCGATGATGTCCACTCCGCCAGAACTGGGTCCTTCGGTGTACTTTTCAAGCCTTCCAGCTCCGAAAGATCCCCCTTGTTCTTCCATAACTCTAATTGTTTGTGATAGAACTCGAATTCGGAATTATTGTCCACCACATCCTGCGCAACGTTATCCAACGCGTCCGTAACATGGTAGGGTCCGACATCTTGGTCGAGGTCTGAGTATAGGTAGACATGCTTGGCGCATCGCAGTGAGGTGTCCATTAATGCGGGAACGCGCAGTGCCGCTTCTGAGGCCCCGGTCCTCGCCATTACTACGACTTTTTGTGTTGTGGGAGGACATCGCTCTAAGGGCTGATCTTTGCTCTTGCTTTGATTCCGGCTACGCCATCGCCATTGGGTGGTAGAAGGAAATGTGCGAATGAGAATGATGGCCAGCAGTAGGAACGCTGCTATGACGCGGGCGCGAAACGATGTAAGGAACGATGGCCGGAGCATTATATATGTTTGAAGCTGTTGTCCAGGAACACTCGATCGCCTGGATAGAATATACAGCGTGAGAAGCTAAAAATAAACCTCATTGTTGGTGTTCGTCGCTGCAAACAATTTAAGGGGGTTGTTCCTGCCCGTTGGTGCACCTTCTATGAATAAGGCTGATACATGGGAAGGGGTGAGAAACAGGCTAGCGTCTACGAGAGGTGAAAGCTGACGCACGCGTTTTCAGCCGCGGGCCGGGGTATGTTTGTCGTGCGCGTAAAACATCTGGATTGCTGTAACGCTTTATAACAGATAAATCTAAATGCAAATAACAGAAAGCTAATGATATTCAACATCTTCGAATTTGTAGTTGTTGCGTACCTTTTGAATTAATATTAAGGTGCTTATAGACGTAATAGTAAAACCCTCGTAGTTCTCCATTTTTAGGTGGAGAAAACTGTACCAAAAGACGCAACGCAACTCCCGCCCCGGACTAAAAAGCTTGTTGTCCCTGGTAGTATGTCATGGTTCTATTTAATTGGCCGCCTGAACGACAGACACACTCAAACAAAGCCATGCTGAGTATATCTTCATCAACAGCTTTTTGAGATATAGTACTATCTCCGTACGAAATAACAACAAGATCGATCTGCAAGGGCAGTCTGAGGGCACTCTTTGAGTCCTTGGGAGGGACATACGATATCTACAAGAACCGCTTAGCTTTCCTTGTAGGGTTTTGCTATAAAGCTTGGAGTTTAAGGTCGTGGAACGTGTGACCTAGAAATTACAGGGAGTCGTTAGGTTGACAGGGTACTGTGAGGAACTTGCACAAGCGGCTCTTGCACGCTGAAAGAGCTGGATTGCCCCTGAGCGAGGGGCCTAGAGCCTGAAGCTTTCTAAAAGGCGTCTAATAACCCCTCTACTCGATTAAGAAGATCGAAAGTCGACATCTATTTGAAGGTCGAACCGTAGTAGTAAATTTCCTGCAGTGGACGAGCAGAGCGAGGCTCCTTATCCTCCGCACAAATACGCGTATTGGAGCGCGTAACAGTAAACAGCTCCCACTTGGAAATTGTAGATTGGAGTGCAGTACGTTCGATAGCACGCGATGGTCCATTGCCGGTCAGCCCAATATGGCGTTGAAGCTTCTTCAGACGTCCGCGATGAGGAAGAAGACTGCCACCATTTCAGCTTCATACGAAGTTCATATAGAGCAAGCCACCCGGTTGCATTGAGGAAGCGCCGTGATTGTAATAACGAATCCTCCTATCTGTAGGAGTGCCAAGGACGACAGGAGACATCAATTTCCATTCCATCCTGACGGGCTCTCCGCCATGAGGGCTACGGATATGATAGGTTAAAAATACGTTACCGAAGAGCGATGGAAGCACCTGTAGCCTTGTCCCATACCCGGGACGGACATTCCGCAATTGCAAGCACTGCCGTAAAATTATATCGAACAACTTTCAACAAGCGCTGAAGCCGCAGGTGGGATCGTAGGAAGACATCCTCGACGTCCTCCGTCCGTATCGACGCTTTGATATCACAAAAATCTTGTTTCAATGTAGATATCTTAATATAGTTTCACAACAACTGCCGAAGCTGTTGATAATCCTTGAAGGATGGCGATGGATTGCCTGCGCCATCGCTTCAACTGGCTCGGGTCACGTGATGATATTACAATCAAGAGTGAGTGAGTAAATGTAAGTCTAGCATGCAGAAACAAGATGGGAGAATATCTTCATTGACGTGAGATAAAGGCAATTGACGGCAGAGCAAGACGTGGGAATAGTTGCAGTTGTGCATTCTCTCTCTTATGCACGCTGGATTGGGAAAGGCTAGGCGCATATAGACGAGCTTCTGAAATAAGACGAAAGTGTGGCTGCCTTGTTTAAAATCTTTAAAAACATACTCAAGTAGAATCACACGTATCAATCATCCCACCTCGCACCAAAGCCATCAATCAATACCTGTGCTTCTCGTGTATCTTTCCCACTCAATTCCCTCATCAATTGCACTCTGTCTGGCGGACAACTAGCAGCGCGCTCCCGCCGAGTACCGAGTATCGCGTTCACTGCTTCAGCGCACGATGACTGCCAATGAGAGGAGATTCGATGTCTCTGATGCTATTCTTGCTCATCAGCCTCAATACCGACTCGCACGAGGCGTTATGAACTTACGATGATATTGCGCACATGTTTGATATCTCTTCCGTATGTCAGGCGTCGGTCGAGCTGAGGTGACTCAACGTCCATGTTGCTATATTCGATCAGTACCATTTCTGGCAGGAACCATGATCACACTTACCGCAACAGAATCTCAGCATGCATTCCTTGCAATTGTACGCTCAGCTCTTGCCTTCTTTCAAGGCCGTCGAGAACTTGGTTTCTCAGGAAACGTATGATGTATCGATCATGGGATTTCCTCCCTTGACTGACCAGCGTATCTTCCTTTTGGCTTTCAATATCACTAGAATGTCCTTCATCTTGTTGCATGTTATCGTTCCAGGCAGCAAGTGCAATCTGAATACCTTTGTCCCATTCGACGGCGGTTTTCATCACAACCATATTAGCAATTTTGATGGAGTTTTCGGCAGTGTCGTCCTGTTTCACATACGTCCTGAATTTTGCTGATTCATTGCTGAGCTCATCTGCTTCTTCGGAAAGTCTTTCAAAGTCCTCGAAATAGAAGTTTCTTCTAGCCCACTTGCGCTGGCCAATGATGCCGATAACCACGCAGAGGAGAAAGACAAGGATACCGACGAAGGCGACGAATACCGAGCGTTCGTATTCTTGGATTGGTGTTTTCATGTTGGTGCTGGGCGAAATGGGAAGAAATAATTGTACGACATTGACCTTACCTTCGTTTACTTGCAGAAGAGTGACTACACTCTGAAGTCAAATGGTGCACATGTAAGTATGACGTATGTATTTTTTCTTCGCTTCTCAGCGAGGAATGTTGGTCGTTGTAAATGCTATCGAGCGGTTGCTAGTAGCGATCAGAGGAATGTGGTATTTGTTGGAGTATAGACGAACCTTGCAGCTTTGTCCGCATCGTGTTCGATGATAGAGCGAGAGTATGCATCGTGAGAAGATTCTGCGATCAACAAATCTTGCAAACCAACTGGCTGGCCGGATATATGCAACATTGGCCGTCTTTGATTCGCTGTTTTAATTCTTGAGTTGGGATGTTGATTTCATTTTGCGTATAATATCACAACAAACTCGCTCACTGTCAACGGCCTCAGAAGGCTTTGGGGAAAGTATCGCGCCTCCACTTTCTTGAAGCAAACCTAGGAAGGCCTAATTGAGATCTATTCAGCCAGCACACTCTCTAAAATTAGACATCAAGTGAGTCGAGTCACGAAGAACCACAATAAAGGCATTCGCGGTGACTAGGCGAGTGTCTGCCTTGCGTGTAATGGCGCTCAGGCATCAAACTCCAGGCACAGCCTTCAGGTTCAATCCTATGCCGAGACATTGTAGGTTCCTATGGAGATCTTGTGTTGGTAACTCATTTACAAGCCCTGTTGGTATGCAGGGTCTTTGCTGCCTGCTTATCTAATATCTTTCCGTGATTTTTAAAGCATTTATATAAAGTTGAATTGATCCCCTATGAAGTTATGCATTATTTTGGGTGGACATAGGCTCTTGCATCACATGGATCCCAACAACTTGAATCCTAGAAGTCTGGTGTTTCTCTAAGCCTCGATCAACCCCACGGACCAGCCTGCATTATAGTTTGTGATCCACAAATCCTTCGGGTCTCCAGGATGGCCTCTATGCCTCCTCCGCCTCAGCCACTACCGAATCCTTCCAAACACCCAATCGGAATCACTCCATATTCTCATCATGACTCCGATACCGACCCAGAATCTGATTCGGATACCGCCACACCTCTCGCCGGCGCTCCCGTTACACCCCGTTTCCTTGGGCCAGATCCCCAAGAAGCAGCATCCCAGCGATTACTAGACCAACTGAAGTCTGCACTTGTTGAAGGGTGCCCTTCGGCCGGTAATTACTGCTGCGGAGGTGAAGTCCCTATCTCGAGGAATCGCCCTACCTCCTCCCAAGATTCGTTCAAGACGCCACTCGTATGTCCTCCAATCATCCTACGGTTCGATACCACTTCTGGTGGCTCATCTAAGCTCCGCTTCCCTCCAGACGCTGATGACGAAAGGAGTAAGGGAGAGTTGGATGTTGGGATAGAGGAATTACAGAAATTCTGCACGACAGAAATAGCGGCGGAAGATGATGGCGGGGCAAAAGATACGAGAGGCGAGAGCAGGGGTAGATCCGCAAGACTTGACCGGGATAAGTTCGCAGTGGACTTCCATCCTTCTGACTTGGGAATCTTGGATGCTATCAAACAAGTCCTATTACCTGGCGCAGTTGAAAGTAGGAATGAGGCTGTAAGGAGAAAAGAGAAAGGCAAAGAAACTGGAAAAGAGAACGAAAGGTGGAGTGAGAGGAGGGAACATTGGGGTGTTAGGGCTGAGTTGTGTCAGTTGAATGTAAGCGAAACACGCATCAGATTTTACGAAGCATAAAACTGATCATGATGTCAACAGGTATATAGCAACACGTCGACGAAAGGGCTCAGACCACTGACTTCGCCACCACGGCGCGGAACTCACTTCGGGACACTTGTCGTTTGCGTACCATATTCTCATCAAGGTGTGTACATGTTAGTCAAATTGTTCCCAACTTTTCTAGGATGGGCTTGGGGAAACAATTTCCAAACATTCTCTTCCTAGAACCTGTGACTGACATCCTTTAGGCGGTGATCACGTTGTAACCCAACCAAGCCCAAACACACACAAGCATCTCCTCACCCACAAACCCCACAGCACACGCTTTCCTACCTCCCCCCCGAAGCCGTCGATATCATGGAGTGCTTTTCTCCGCGGCAGCACTCACTCGGTACTGCCTATAACGAGTGGCAAACTTATTACGTTGACCTACAACCTGCACATGACGGAAGCCATTGGAGGGCCACTACAGCGGTACCCAACTACCAATTCGAGATTATATCCGCTATTCAAAATAGCAAAGGGCTTGCTTGAGAACCCAGATTTTATGCCAGAAGGTACTCATCCTTTTCGTTTGTTTGATTCTTTATTTTTCTTTCACGGTATTTGGTCCTTTAATGTAGGTAGACAAGCGTAAGCTTGACCAGGAGCCCCGAAATAGTACACGACGGACGACAGACAAGAGGGAGGAGAGAAGCTAACAGAATCCCAGGAGGCCCCCTAGGAATCTACTGCACCCACCCCTACTTCCACACACGCAAACTAACGCAAACATTGATGCCTTTCTCCCTGCGCGGCATCGACGCCATAACCTTCTCCGTCTTCAGGGCTCTCGGGCTAAAAGTCCTCGTAGCGCCCGTCCTAGGCGATGAAGCCTGGGACGAGTGGGAGCAGGCAAGGGAAGAGAAGTGGATGCAGAAGATATATGGCGATGAGCCGATGGCGGAGGGGGGTGTAGTGGAGGAGGAAGAGGAGAATGCTGGGGATAAGACGAGGGTAGGGAAGAGCTGGCATAAGATGAGAATGGTTAGTGGGGAGGGTGGTGTAGGGTTAAAGGTTGGTGAGGATCCTACTCCTGTACGTTTCCCTATTTCTTTTCCCCTGTCACCGCCATTGGATCCTCATCAGACGGACCAGATACTACCCCACACAGCAATACTAACAAAAGCAAATAGTTCACAAACTACCACTACCCACTCCACGTGCTCCCCTCCGTAACCTGGCTCAACGAATCCACTGAAAACTGGGAAATAGCCATGGTGAACCTAAAAAATATCTCCGCCTCCACCTCCGGCCCATCCGAAATAGAAACAGAAATAGAAACGGAAATCATGTGGCAATACTCACACGCCGCCATATTCATCGAGATCCCAGCGAGTGAGGAAAGAAAAAAGTAGGTGAGCAAAGGCCTCGAGTGCGGAAGCTACCCTACCGAACAGACGCTGAGGGTTTATACAAGCGTTATTGTTGAGAGGCGGATGTGGAGGTTGAATTTGGGGGTTTATGGGGTGTGTGAGAGGTGGGGGCCTGGAAGGGGAAGGTGGTATTGGTATCCCAGACCATTGCCTTATCTTTTCGTTTCTGGGGAAGCGGAGAATGGATGATATGATGTGATGTGAATAAGCAACGGATATCTGGCATGGGAGATTGTGAGGCAATATTTCTCTCTTCTCTCTTTGGAGTTTCATAGTTCGGGAGTGAGGGCAGGCAGACAGGCAGGCGCGATATACCATTTCATTTCTTGCTTTATGTCCTTAGATAACCTACATCACTCGTAGTAGAGCGGGGGTAGATTTCTTCAAATTTTTTTGATTTTCATGAGCTATTTATGAAACTACACACTTCATAGACTTCTCACCACAACTACTTGCAATTATAGCTTTCGGGCGAGGATTCTATGGATATGTGTAACGCTTTTGCGTGAAATATGTATGTGGCAGCTATCTATCAGCTCGGCTTTTCGAGCCAGGCAGAAGGCGCTAGTAAAGGTAGCAGCTAATTGAGGTTGCCAGAGACCTAGTGTGTTCGACTTGGGCTCAGGGGAGGGGATGGGAGGGGAAGGAAAGGAAAGGAGTATGTACTGGGTGGAATGAGATGAGATGTGGGCTGATATAGATGTTTCGAGGTAGAGGATTGATTGCAGCATGGAAAAGCGCATGGATTGATAGATCTTCTCAGGATGTCTGCTAAAGATTCAGAACTAAAGGTCTGCAAGTATAGCAGTATACCCCACAAGCCTTGCTCGATGTTGGCATACCTTCTTACTGCGAGCAGAAGATGAAGGTTCTCAATAAAATGCGGACAATGTCCTCGCTCATAGCTTGTTTGCATTATGATCTTTCTAGAATACACGTGCCACGAAAAGAAGGCAAGCATATCCTCCTTTCATGATATCTTTCCACCCCACTCTACAAGTACAAACCCTCTGGCTCACCCTCACTCTTCGTCTTGAGCACGCGCTCTCGCGCAGCTCTGAAATCTGCCATCTGCACACGCATTCTACGCTCTCTCAGCGCCATCAGACCAGCTTCAGAGCAAATAGCCTTGATATCAGCACCGGACAAGTCGTCCTTCTGGTTGATGAACTCTTCCAAATCCACATCTTCATTCAATGACATCTTCGATGTGTGCAGAGTGAAAATCTTGCGCTTGGTGACTTGGTCGGGATTCTCGAAGAGGATCTTTCGATCGATACGGCCGGGTCGAATGAGAGCAGGGTCGAGGGTATCAATCTTGTTGGTGGCCATAATAACCTTTACATCTCCACGATCATCGAAACCGTCCAGTTGGTTGAGAAGCTCCAACATGGTTCTTTGGACTTCTCGCTCTCCTCCAGATGTTGACTCGTATCGCTTCGTACCAATGGCATCGATTTCGTCGATGAAAACAATCGCAGGGGCATTTTCAGCAGCAACCTGGAGATTGTTAGAACAGCTTTCATAATATGGAAATTCTACCTGCATACCTGGAAGAGCTGTCGAACAAGCCGGGGTCCATCACCCAGGTACTTTTGAATCAACTCACTACCGACAATACGCAAGAAAGTCGCACTTGTCTGGTTTGCAACAGCTTTTGCCAGTAGAGTCTTTCCAGTACCAGGGGCACCGTAGAGAATGACACCCTTTGGTGGCTTAATACCCATCTCCTCATACAGCTCAGGATGTAACAGTGGCAACTCCACAGACTCCCGAACCTCTTGAATTTGAGTCTCCAAACCACCAATATCCGCATATGACTCCGTAGGGGCCTTATCAAGCTTCATGACCGTGACCAGAGGATCGGCATCGTCAGTAAGAACACCGACGATAGATACAGACTTGTGATGGAGTAAGACGCTCGCACCGGGCTCTAACAAGTCCTTATCGACGAACGACATGATGGAGACATAGTACTCCGGGCCGGTAGTGCTAGAAACGATGGCATGGTCATCATCGATCATCTCCTCCAATGTACCGACACCCATGGGGCTTCCTCGCATATCATCGACTCGCCCTCTTTCATCAGCATTTCTGTCCAAGGCGTCAGAGTCACCACCAGCCGTCGCTGGAGCACCACCCTCCTTTGCAGACTTTGCCTTCCGAAGACGCTCCTGGTTCTCGACGTATTCTTCCTCGAGGAGGAGATGGTCGTGGATTCGTTGCATTCGGAGATATCTTAGCTTACATCGGGAGGTAGGGTAGACGGCGGGAAGTTTTGCGGACGCATTGGGACCGGCAGCCTTGCGCTTCTTGCGACCAATACGGGTTGTTGGACGTGGAGGTGGTTCGTACTTGGGCTTATCCTTCTGATGGCAGAAAGCTGATTAGCATCCGGAAATGAGTGGCAGATTTTCCATTGTAACATACCTTCTTATCTTTCTCGTCCTTGTTGTCGCCGCCCTGGCCAGCTCCACCGAGCCCAGACTGTTGATTTCCCTAAAGCATAGATGTCAATATTGCCCCCAAGCAGGGAATCACATGAAGCTTACCATCTTGCCCTCAGCGTTTTCGAAACGCTTCTATTCACAAGTACAGAGGGATGGTTTATCAAAGAGAGACCCAAGTGGTCGTATCGATGAAGTTTGGTTGTTGATGGAAGTTGGAGATGCTGATGCTGTTTGTTAATGTTCAACAGCTCTGACCTTCGCTCGGTAGGCGACAGCAACGCGACTGCAGCTTCTATTTAGCGCTAGGTGATGAATTGATGCCTTCATTATTGCCTAATATGTAAGGTTAACTCCGATACCTGCAGCCCCTGGACTACCGACTGATTCATCCCGCCCGCAGCTGCAGCCTCGAGACAACCACGGCTTTCTTTTTACTGGAACACGTCTGTTTCGACGCAAAACAATAGTTCAAGAACGTCTCATTTTCGGGTACAAAGTCACACCCAAGGCATAAGATTTACACGTCGCAACATATCACATAACCTTCGTCGAGCCTTTCAGAGGTAACATCAACTTAGAACTAGACTTTGACATACCCCGCCAAGGGCGATAGCAGTACGACACCAGCCAGTCAGACTGACTTCTACTCCACAGGTAAGGCTTTCTGGTAACTGCCTTGCCATCACTTTCCCCTCATACCCAGCGTTCAAAACCAGACTATATCTCTGCGTGAAGCATATTGTTTAGCATCTGCTAATCATGATCATAGAGCTCCGGCCAGGAATCATTCTATCTACCAACAACCTTTCAGGAGACTCGATCATCTCTCATAAACAACACGGAACTTTGAGATCGTCATATTAACGACATCCAAAAACCTACCATTACCGTGTTATCTTACAAACAAACTCGAGTCCTTCATTCAGCATGGCCTCAAACCGCGTACGCAGAATAGCCAAAGAGCTTCAAGACATCCAAAGCGACACTGATTCTAATATCTTCTGTGAACCTGCAAGTGGTGCCGACCTTTCCCACTTGAGGGCTACCTTTCCTGGACCTCCCGATACTCCTTACGAAGGCGGAACATACATTGTCGACGTCAAAATTCCCAATGAATATCCCTTCCGACCACCTGCCATGTCATTCACTACTAAGCTCTGGCATCCAAATGTCAGCAGTCAAACAGTGAGCCAACCTCTCTCCCTAACAGATCCTCAAAATTAACGATTTCAGGGTGCCATCTGCCTCGATACCATTGGCTCAGCCTGGTCCCCGGTCCTTACCATTAAATCTGCCCTCCTCTCCCTGCAATCCCTCCTCAGCACCCCCGAGCCCAAAGACCCGCAAGACGCAGAGGTAGCATCCATGCTAATGAATAACCCCGACCAATTCCAACGCATCGCACGCGAATGGGCCATCAAACACGCCGCAGCACCTAAGCAAACCAGCTGGGACATCTCCTCGGCCCAAAGCCCTCCCCCCACACAGCCGAAATCCGCGAAAGCGCTCTCCCGAGAAGAAGAGATGAAGCGATATCAGGGTTACAACAAGGAACTCATTGACCGGTTTGTCAATATGGGGTTTGATATTGATCGTGTGGTTGAAGCGTTTGAGTTTGTGCATATTGATAAGAACAATGGCGAGGATTATGAGCTTGAGGAGGCATATATGGGGGATATTACTGCGAGACTTTTGGGGGAGCCGTGATGATTTGAGACACAGGGTTATTTCTTTATTATTGCATGGGCCTGGAGTATTTGCTAGTATCTGGGAGCTGGGACTGGACTAGCATGGCGTTTACAGTTAGCGTGATAACAATCTCAACATAACACTTTGCATCTAGGCTTGGTTTCTATGGAATTTTGTTGTGGTCGTTATTTACAGGACTTCGTTATCACCACAAGATGACATTACTGAGTTGATTAAGTTTGAGGACTTTGCCTACCTTATCTACCAAACCTCTGATACACCACAATATTACCAATTCCAAGTCCTGCTTCCTCTCTACCCTGTCTGAATTCCACCTCTTCTGGTCTCATTTCCTCGCTCAGGCGGCGGTACCAAGTTGTCCATAATTCAGACTATACCATCGTCTCGTCTCGACTTTTCCTACAGTACGAGTAAGTAAATACATCCAAAATTATATCTATAAAACGTTGTTGTAATTGTGTGGAGTGTTACCTTGTCTAAAGGTAAAATATGCATCAAGAAAGCAAATGGAAGACGGGGGTTTTAGCTATGCGGGTGTTGAGACGCTTGAGCATTGGGTGGAATGGGGAAGGAAGGAAGGGACTCAAGGGATGTATGAGAAAATTCGCCTCATTTACTTGTTTGAATGAACGTTCGAGATTGCTGTCATTTTGATTACTGCTATCGTTTTACATTTTGCTGTCATTCATATCCATACTCAAATACCTGGTATGAGATTTTCAAGTGAGATTTAAACTCATCTGCTTTGAGACATGTTATTACTCGTTGACCGTTAAGATCAAGGTCACCCTGGGCTTGGAAGAGGCTCTCTGCCTTTATATCTTCATACAATGGCCTTCCCGATGAGGATGTCGAAAGTACTAAGGAGGACCTGGGTTATATACTTTGAATCGTCTACTGTTTCTCGATGTGGCGAAGTTGGTTCTTAATTTCGAGTGGTGCTTGAACATTATGCTAGTAGTGTATTTAATGCCTACTTGCCCACTTATACGTGAATTAAACTCTGGGAGTCGAATTACTTTAGGAGTATAGGTAAAAGGGAGCTTTGGGGTCTTTCCCTCGTTTGGATTTAATAAATAGCTTCGGTGAGGAAGTTAAAAGGTGTTGTGGAGAGCGGAGCTGTAGGAAGAAGGTAAACTGAACCGACAAGCACCCCATTTACTCCAATTAAGTGTCATCCTACTTTGTGAAGATCCTAGTCTTACGTCATTGAAGACTATGAATAACTTTTTAATTAGTATATTACAACCCCTGAACGAATATGCATCGCTTACTTCGAAAGGCAGGCAAACTTGAAAGCTCCAAACTTGGATAACCTCAATTCACTTCCTGTTCGGGGTTTTCGCAAACAAGTATGAAAAACCGCTGACGTCGACAGAGCTGAATGCTCTTTCCTCTAGTTATTTAAAGACGCACTTTTACTCTCACAAACTAATTTCACAACCATCGATTTTCCAAACCTCCAAAAAACAACAATACAAATTGAAGCTACAACATACCTAACTATCCATTCCTTGCGCACCCCAACCAGGAACGTACATAATGTACGGCCCAGACGTCTACCCTCCTGCCGAGCCAATGTCGCCGTATCATAGATGTAAAAACTCCCTCCAACCATCACTTCAAGCATCAACCAGCTAACGCTATCCTAGCACTATCTCCCCGCGCCACTTCACCACCAAGCTCCTCCACAGACCTATGCATGCGTACCCGCCTCGGCCGTCCGCTCTACTACAGCACCTGTTTCGCGGTGGCTACCGTCGGCATGTCCTGCGCCGTCTGGCTCGGTGCAAAAGCTTCACTCATGCGGTCTATGGCGAGAATGAACTACGCAACACGTTCTGTCCGCGGCGGTCCCTCGAGAAGAAGTTCGGCTGTTTACCGTAAGACACTTTGCTAGGAGCGTATATGTGATGTGAGGGCACTGAAGCCTACCGTGTTGTGTAGGGGTCGTGGATGCGCTGACTCGGTTTTCGGCTGAGGAGCTGAAGGTCTATGGTCCTATGGCTGTGGCTGGAGGGACGGTGTGGATGAAGCTTGGTTGGCCTGTGGATGGAGAGGAAGATGGGAAGGGCAAAGGGGACGGGTATGGATGTTAGGGCTCCGTACAGATGCGAGTTTTGATAATGGATGCGCCTGGGATACAAAAGTGGGTTGGAGAATGACTTTGACGAGGATTCGCGCCGGATATAATATGATGGGGAGTGGTGGTCTTGCTTTTGGGATACCAGGTGTTTGCGAGGGTTAATGGGATATCAAAATGGCGTTTGGCGCTTGCGCATCAGGATGAATCAGGTCGATGCCGGTATGGCGTTTTCTTTCTGCAGTATGATTAGAGAATGGACAGATGAGAACCTCTTTCACGCAAACTCAACTTCGCGTACACTAAACCAATCCAATCAATGAGCAGCCTTATTCATTTTGCTACTGTACCGGGCTCGACCTCGGTCTCTTTCTAGCTGAAGCTGCTCCCGATAATGTCACACTGTCCTTACAAGTAGTATAAAATAAGATGTCCAGTCAACCCCAAGGTCTTCCCGAATTTCTAAAGCGGCTGTTATGTACCCAGTTAGCTACCTAGTTACGTATATTTCAATCTTCCTTGCATGAACTAGCCAAAGAGTCATCTTGGGTTTCAAAACGGCTGCACAAACATCTCAAGTTTCCAGAGTAGCATCTGTATCCTCCGTCTCCTTTATTCGGTTTGCCTGGCTTAACAACATCCTGCAACGAGCAGATGTTTCAAACACGAATTTCCCACAGAAGACGACCCTTAATCGGATCATGGTTGCTGTCAAATCATTCATTGCTGTCATCTTTGGCTAAGTTCTCGGTCTGTTTTGTGACTAAAATTTAGTGAATCGGGGAAGTTGCAACAAAATACTTCTCGAAGGTTGCATCACTGACTCCTGATATAAGTCATGTTGTAGGTGAGGCCCGAAAGAGGACCGCGATGGGGTTGGTTTTCCATTCTACTATGCATTATGCCAGGAAGGCAGACTAACAAGTTGGTGGGGTTCTTATACTATAGACTCTTGACCTGATGGAGGTACTTCTCTGCGCTTGGTCGATTTGTATTACTGGAGGTTGGTCCCATCATCTTCGACATAGCAGATGCAATTGCTTTCGAATTCCATGGACTTGACCCTTTGATCCACCTCTCGAGCGAATGACTGACAGAGCAAAAAGTAGAAGACGCTCTCTGCCAACACTGGTTGTTTTGGGGTGCAAAGTGGTGGTTATAGGTTATAGAATTCAGTAATAGGAAATTAGTTACAAAAGCCGAAAGAAGAAATCACGAAGTTGTCCTCCTGAAGAAGGGGCCGGGCGGCGGCCGGGGGAGATATACAAAAAGCGGGCAGAATCCAAACCCCGAAAAATAAAAGCAAAAAAATGAGTTGGTCAGGATACCCTTAAGCAAGCTTAACGATCAAATTGTTCTCAGAAACCTAAACCAGTACACCATTACACATTTGATGTATTTTGCATACTGTTTATTCAATTATATATACCCCCTACCCCTTCCCTCGGCCCGGCGGCTTAGTGAATGTAAACGCGCAGGGAAAGAAAGGATTCCACAGCCGCTCTTTGCCGGCTTTTCCACGAAGTGCAACAAAACATTTACATTTCCTATTTGGGACACTTGTTATAATGATAATTCACGGAGGCTAAGCTTGCTACTTAGAGTTCCATCACAGTTGCAGATGGCAAGGAGGGTGGATGAACGGAGTAATGTATGTTTTGCGAGATTGGTTAACATTTGCGGCGACTTTTTGGGGAATCTGGAAGATTACTTGTATAAGGGATATGCTTTCCTTAGAGCCTGGCAAGAAATATAAGGATAGTCAGGTGACCGATTGATTACTATTATAACCTGATGAGACGGTAGGTACCTATGTATGGTTGTGGAAGGAACCTCAGGTATAACCCACGTCCCAAGTAAGCGACTCGGGCTAGCTCCTCGACTAAAATAGGGGTAAGGTTGCGGCCGATCAGCCGCCAGCAGTGCTGGGATATATACTAAGGTAGGCTCAGCCTCCATCAACGAGTTTCTGAATATCCTAGTTGATGATATATAGTAAAGCTTGTTCGGACATAAAACAGCTGAGGAATCTGAAATGCAGCAAATCGTTCGTTGCAACTTCTCTTGTAAAACGAAACTTAATTGCCGTCATGTGCTAAAAACGAGTCCTCAATTAAGCAACCGATGGCTCCTTAGTTGGGCGTCGAGCTCTGCAAAGCCAAAGTTTGAAGCCATTATCCTCGGTATTTGAAACCACTCCACTCCTTGTAACAAGCTTAGAACCGGCGATAAATTTTTTTCATGTTGGACACTGCTTCTTTGTGACGGATAGGCGGCTGAATGGCCTCAGGGCCAAGTGTCATCCATTTCAGATTGCATCCAAGAGCTTCGGATGCCAGAACTGTGAGAAGTTGAGACAATACCGCCAGCTGATGAGTCTCGTAAAGAGCCAGGCTCACAAGAACTAAAGGAATAGCAGTTCTATTGATAAATCCCGTATCTTGAAGTCCGTGGACCACCGATTCAATTTTCGTCGTTTCGAGACCATTTTCAAGGTGCATGTTTGGTAGACGACCACACCTAATAATTTTAGCTTTCTTATTTCCATATATAGCCTAGAAAATATTTTAGGAACAAACTTAGAGACAGCGACAACAGTTGCGATATCGAAAGCTTGTCTGTTTAGTCCCACCTTCTTGCCATTGGTGAGCTTCTGAAGTGCCTTCCACGTCTCAAAAGTCTTGACTGCATGCGGGCCTGTTTTTGCCATTGTTGAGGCTTTGTTGATGGATTTGTAAAAGCTTAAATTGTGTTTATAGGCATGATGCTTTGTTTCGGAGTCAGCAACCTGGTCGAGTGAAGAGGCAATGCATAAACACAGAGCGTGTCACGAACCCGGACACCGAAGAGTTATGACGTTGGAATACTGCACAGATGCGAATCAAAAGCGCTAGTACTTTTATTGCTAATTGAGTGAGAGATATCTCGTTGTTGGGCATTCTCAGCGAACGGGTATGCAGATATGGCAACGGAGGTGCCCTCCAAGAGCCCAGCTGCTGAAGATGACATCCTCCAGTGATACGACGTGGGGTAGCGCGGACTCGACATGTTTGAAAAGGAAGGGCAATTAACATGCTCATTTCAATCTCCCAAGTTCTAAATGATAGCTCTAAAGTTATGGTTCACGCCATCGATGATGTGTAAGGTACATTGGGCTTACACGTTGTCTCTGAGGTTCCCCACGGGTACGGATTATTCTTAGCTGTTTCAAAAGAAAACAAGAATGGAATTTCATAGGATGTTTGACGTTTATAATAAAGAGACCCATTTGAGAAGAGCGACGAGAAGGTGCTCGAGAAATATGATCAGTCGTAACCTAGGCTGGTAGGTTTCTACGGTCACCTCAACTTGAACCTCATTTCTGATACTTGAGACAAAATTGCCTCAATTAAATGAATTGATGAGCACAACATACAAATAGCCGTCTACAACAAGCTACACTTGCTCCAATATTCCGGTCCTTAGAGATATCATTTAGTACCTGCTAGGACTAAGGAATCAGGGTGAAAATATATATCCCGTGGTTTCGCGATCGGATGAGAGCTGAATGAAGCTTCGTCGTCCAGTAAAGAGACTGTCACAAGATGCCCATTTCAGCTTACAAGCTGAAAGCTCTGGTCGCCTTCCTAAGCACCTATATCATACTAGACATGCAATTACACATTGTTATAACACGACCAAGTAGAGAATGTGAGGGCATTGAAGCGAGACCACTAGTAACCGATGGTGACCCAGCCGTTACTGAGGTTATAGCATTGGTGGTGATTGCGATTGGTTGCTGACCTGGAGGGATTTGACTGGATACTCCAGAAGAAGAGGCAGCCAGATTTGTTCCTTGGCTTGAAGAACCCAACGTACTGGTGGAGGATGCAGCTGGATTTGAGATATTAGCAGAACCTGATTGCCCAGAGCTTGAGACTGAGCTGGAGATGCTGGACGAAGTTGTCAAAACAGAAGATGATATGGAACTCGATAGACTAGATGTCGTTGATTGGCCCGGACTGCTTGTAGAACCTGATATGGTAGAGGTTCCAGAGCTTGTTTGCCCAGAGGTAGCCTGACTCGAACTACTCGAGCTAGAAAATGAGGACGAGCTGATGGTCGAGGGTACACGGTTTGAAGAGCTCGACAGCACAGACGACGACGGTGAAGACGATGGTGAAGATGATACGTAGGAACGGCTGCTTCCCGATGACGATGTACCAGCGGAATTTGGAAGGCCACCGGACGGACTGGATGCAGTGATAGTTCTTAGTGAGGACCACGACGACGAAGTGACAGGCGGAGGAAGCGCAGCCTGGTAGATGAGTAAATTCGTAGCCCCACCACAGAACTCCAGCGGATTATCCGGACATGTCTCCGTCTTGCAAGAGGTATAAGTTGTACTTGACGCGGCGGCCCAAGTATCCGAGTTCGTACAGTAACAAGCGCTATGCGACGATCAGCGTTGACGAATAAGTATAGTATAAGGAGAATACTTACTATCCATTCCCTACTGCGGAGTATTTGAAGCTGAAAGATGAACAATATGCTACGCATGTCTCGACAAAGACATTTCCAAAAAGAAAGGCCAGGGAAAGTGAGGCTGCCAAGGCGACAACGTCTGTTACTTGAACGGCGTAGCATCCATGCAAATTGTACCCTAAAGTGCTAGTCACCAGGTTCGCGGGTCGAAGCTGGTATAAATTAAAGGAATTTGTGCCTCCACAGAGTTCAGACGGATTGCCAGCACAAGGCGTATCACAATTTGCGTTGGAGGGCGCTCCCGCCCCAGTGGTTAAACCGTTCCCACAAAAACATTCCCTAAACGCGATCAGAATGAATCAGGGAATTAGTCGGGGCTACTTACGTGCCTGATTCAACCTTATTTTCTATGTCAGTAAATACATATAAGATGTAGGATTTTGAAACTCACCCCTGCATATGTGGGTATGGGCCTTCCTGTAAAGAATTAGTACCGTGTTTTCTCCATGTACTAAGATCTATGGAAATGAAGACTGCTTGGAAACTCATGAGAGCATAACCAAAGATCAAAAGTAATAAGAGACTTGCTTACGAGGAAGGCAAACTTGCTCCAAACATATTTCAACGGTCATGTTGGAATAAACAACCGGTAAGCCAAGCAATTCCAAACCGAACGCCCCATCTGAATAACAACCAGCAGACTGATAATAGGTATCGCCGGGCACCAGCGTAGGGTTTACCGGTGTTCGTTTCGCAATGCCATTCAAAGGGATATCTTCAGGGGCGACTGATGCTTCACGTTTCCCCAATTCCGTGGCAATACCCATCAATGCCAAATAGGAAATTGAGAGAAGAACCCACATTGTAGAGGTAGGCATGATGGAAAGGAGGGAAGATTTGGTATGAAAATGCAGCAGTACGCAGATGCTTGCCGAATATAAGCAAAAATGTCCCCCAGAAGCTAGGGGGGCCATGTCCTTCCAAGACAAGCAAGTATTCCAGAAGGAGGCGCTCGACGTGGGTGCGTTCATGGCCCAGCCGACCAATAATCGGTGGTCTCCCTGTCTGTCCCATCCTCATCCTCCAGAGTGGGGGTTGGGGGATTGAAGAAGGCAGGAAGGGGGAAACGCCCGATTAAGCATCGTTTGAGCGGTCGAGACACTCGCAGCGAGCAATATGGATACATGACGCAAGCTTCAAGAGAGTATCACAAACCCGATGGTATTCCCGGCCACAGAATATATCTGATATTGATAGATGCCTCGGCCAGTCTTGAAAACATTAAGGTCATTCAAACGACGTACAGAAGGTTTGATAGGACGACCTCAAGAGAAGCTATCCGCAGTTGCTGTTGGCTATGGACTAGCCATGTGTAGCACTACCTAGACATTAGACATTCCTAACTTCAAACCTCAAATCCTCATTATCGCAATCCCTTCGTTAGAACACTCATTCCAATCTTTCCCATTGCGCGTGCTGTCTTGCCTCGGAAGAAACGAGAGTAAATAGGAGGGCTGACAACGATGATTCGGGCTTTCCACTGGAACGTTAATAATTAGCACAAGCTGTCTGAACTGCCACCGATTATTCTCCAAAGAGGGAGGCGAGGCAATGAGAATGGCAAGAGGAACACATGATTTCAGGAGTTCTGGTGACTTACGCCTTGGTTCTTGAAAAGCAGCCTGAATAGTACCATAAAGTCCCTCGACATTAATCCGTTGCATGAGCTGGAACCTCTTCATCGGCGCATTCTCAACCGAAACCCACCAAATCGCCCCCGAATTGTAGACAAGGACGTTAAACATGGCCATAGAGCTAGCAGCACGTCAACAGCATGTCCATCCATCCAGCCAATCAATCTTTCCCACCTTGCAGTCTCATCCACCATTCTCTGCACGCTTTCAAAGTCTCATGTATCGACAGCTATGGCCGTAGCTTGGCCACCAGCTTCCTTGATCTCGCGCTCGACGGTGCTGATGGTGGATTGCTGCGAATTGGGGTCTGGGGGGAAGGGCTTCGTTACGTACGCGTCGCTCGTGGACTTTGCTGCTACTACCACTGTAGGAACGTATTAGAAAAGGATCTGTAGGTGAGTAGGTAGAGAAGCACCAGTGTATCCATTCTTCGCTGATCAATAGCAACTTGTCTGCCAGTACCCCGCGACGCGCCGACTACAAGAGCTACCTGCTGTTTGGAAGCCATACTGTCGAAGTTTTGTGTTCAGGTCGACTCAATTGCTAAAATATACTGGCAGTTTATTATTGCTGCAACATGCTGTCACTTGTACATTTCGTTGCGATGTTGTCGGTTTGGAGGTTTAGTGATAATATTATACGGTGTTTGCACGCCGAGGCTGTCACTGCCGGCTGGCAATTGACTTTGGAGCTTCCCCGCCAACTTCCCCGCCCGTAATCCGGGGAAATAACTACTAATTCTTATACGGATAACTTTTCGTTATAAGAGCTCATGCAATGATTTATGGTCTGCATATTTACTGGCATTAATTAGTAACCGACGCCGTACGGTATCGAACCCGCGACATTTCCACCACATCACATGCTTCATCCGGATTGACAAGTACAAAATGGGAGGACATATTGACTGCTATCTGGACGTTGGTAAGGCCATTTCTTCATTTCGACCAAAAGCAACGACTTTTCAAAGGTTTACATATCTTCAATTGCTCTTCCGCTGACCATTATCAAAAAGCATCCTTCTACGGCTATCTAACCCTTGTCTACCTCCTCTCCTTAAGCAAAGAGCACGTCTTGCATCCTACCATGTCACAGTCGAGTAAGAATTCATTTTCCTAGTCATGCATATAGTAACTAATCATATCTCCAGATTCCATCCCATCTTCCTAGGCGGAGTAAATGTCGGTTCGTACACCTCAAGTCTCTCTTAGCACCTATCACTTTCCCTTGTTTACTACCAATACTTTCCAAGTAGTCTCGAATGATCTTTCAATCCCCATACTTCGTTCTATTTAAAAAGACATCGTCTTGTTAACTAACTCTTGCAAAAAGGCTCAGGAAATAAACCCACTTGGACTCTCCCGGTAAAAGCTGCATACGGGAAGGTCGACGGCGACAGAGCAAAGAAGTACCATGTTTTCAGACCCACGGATATCGAGGCACCATCTTAGTATCCCCCTCTAACTCTCCTGATAAGACGTATTCGTATCATCATTACATCTCCCCCCTCCAATGTTCCCTTCACCTCCTTTTCAATCCCCTCATCTACCCCAATTCTTCCATCCCACCCCACCTCTCTCCTCCAACA